GTGTGTGTGTGTGTGTGTGTGTGTGTGTGTGTGTGTGTGTGTGTGTGGTTTTCTTTTTAATTATCTTTAGTCTTGTGGTCACACATAATTTTAAAATTTGTGTGTATCTCCACTACTTTAATCCCTTTAAGTTGGCAAAAGCACCATTCTCAATCACAAATACACAGTTCTACAGTTTTATACGTTTCTGAATGGCTGTTTAAAGACAGTCCTAAATTATAACTTAGTTGGACTTAGATTGTAAAGAATTCAAGAGTGAAGTTTAACTTGCTACTATTTTAAAAGCATGTGACCTTATAGATCTATAAGATGTGAGAAGTGTTGAATCATCTTTAATATTACACATAAACCACACTAAAATGCCTTTCAATAAGTAAAAGGAACAATTTTAAATACAGGGAATTATAATTAAATTGGCATAGTTAAGGCCAAAACTCTAGACATTACTACCTTATTTATCTTCAACCCTTGCCTTTAAGAGGCAAATGAACACAAAACACAGGTGAATCTTGCTTGGTTCTGAGACAGTGAAGGAATTTCCCCAGTATTTAAATATATTCACAAACCAGTTATATAAATCTAAATATAAAACCAATCTCCAGTAAGTTTTAAGATGGCACTCACCATCTTTGTGAAAAGTTGAACATTACTAACGAAGTCTAATCATATCTTTAGAAGGGGTAAACAGTGATAGCATTTACCGAATTGGAATTACTATTAAAATTCAAAAACTGAACATATTCATTTAACCACAAGCCAGTCTTAGTTTTTTTTTTTTTTTTGAGACGGAGTCTCGCTGTATCGCCCAGGCTGGAGTGCAGTGGCGGGATCTCAGCTCACTGCAAGCTCCGCCTCCCGGGTTTTTACGCCATTCTCCTGCCTCAGCCTCCCGAGTAGCCGGGACTACAGGCGCCCGCCACCTCGCCCGGCTAGTTTTTTGTATTTTTTAGTAGAGACGGGGTTTCACCGTGTTAGCCAGGATGGTCTCGATCTCCTGACCTCGTGATCCGCCCGTCACGGCCTCCCAAAGTGCTGGGATTACAGGCTTGAGCCACCGCGCCCGGCCCCCCAGTCTTAGTTTTAAATCAGGGCTGCCCAACAAAATATTCTGTCAGTCACTCATGATCTGAATTCTGGTGTATGAGATCTATTAAAGTATGGTACACATAAAAAAGTCAGACATTTGTTTTGTAATAAATAAAATGTGGCCTATTACTCATTAGTAGCTTTTTTGAGATAAGCTATCAAGTCTGCCCTTTCTTCCTTCTTCTTAATGCTGACAAAGATCATTTTTGTTCCAGGGATGTACTTCTTGGGATTCTCCAAATACTCCATCAGTGTATCTTCTCCCTAGGTGATGCCTTTGTTCTTATTGGCGGCTGTGTAAGAGTATCCAGGGGCCTGACCTGTCTTCCGCCCGAAGAGACCATGGAGATTTGGCCCAGTCTTGTGCTTGCCTCCTTTTAAGTGGTGTGGCACTGGGAACACTTCACAATAAAAATCTTCTTGCCTTTCTCAACATCACCCATATTTAATTCTCTTTTTAGTTGCTGGCCCAATGAAGATTCCTGCTCCGAAGCCGGACGTCCCAAACTCTCTCAGGAATCTGTATTCTAACAACCTTCCCAGATGATTTGTATGTGTGCATGAAGTTTGGAAACCACTGACCTAAAGGGATAATTTTTAAAAGTAAAGAACTAGCATCACTTGGGTTATTGGATTCTTTCCTATTACAGATCACAGACGAGAACTTCAAGGAGTATCATGTAAAAACCTAATTATAAGGCCAAATATAATTTTAGGAGACTAATAATTAACAACTCTATTTACAAGACTGTATGTCCTTTTGTTGTAAATTATACGTGTGAAATGTCTCAAGGGATAGATGTGAAATGTCTCAAAGAAATCTTTGGTGGATGTTGTTTAATCCTGACTTGCCTTCCATAAAATTAACCAGTTGCCCAAAGTTTTTACTCTACTACCCACAGATGAGTCTCCAGTAACCCTTAAGGCATTCTCTGAACAAGCCTCATTTCCTGTATAAAAGAAAACTGGCTTAAAATGAACTGAGTTTAGTTAACTGCACAAAACTTAGGCTGATTAAACTGGTTATCAAAAATGACTATGAATTCTGCAGCTTTGGAGATGTTTTAACATAGGAAATACAACTATATTTTTGGATGAGCAGGGTATACAGTGGCCTAAAGCTAGAGAATCCAAATGGAAGGCTCAAACTGGATTCTAGTACAAACAGGTTAAAACTAGATTTGACTAAACCTACCTCTCCATCCAAATGAATGTGAACCTGTTTTTGTTTTTTATTTTTTTCATTTTTATTTATTTTTTGTTTTTGAGATGCAGTCTCACGCTGTTGCCCAGGCTGGAGTGCAGTCTTGGCTCACTGCAACCTCCACCTCCCGGGTTCAAGCAATTCTCCTGTCTCAGCCTTCCGAAGAGCTGGGAATACAGGCGCGCGCTACCATGCCCAGCTAATTTTTGTATTTTTGGTACAGACGGGGTTTCACCAGATTGGCCAGGATGGTCTTGGTCTCTTGACCTCGTGATCCGCCTACCTCAGCCTCCCAAAGTGCTGGGATTACAGGCGTGAGCCCCACCGCGCCTAGCCTGTTTTATTTTTTAACCGAGTCTGGCAAGAATTCCTTGCCATTCTGCCATAATATAATGGTCTCTTGAGAATCCTTTACAGAAACACAGTTTAGATGTACATAACATACTAAGAAGGAAATCATTTAACTTAACAATATCACACCCAGATAATTCAAATACCTAATAGAATTTTTCATTCGAATTATTTGGTTTGGCCAAGTTAATTGGGTAACTTTTTTTTTTTTTGAGACGGAGTCTTGCTCTGTCGCCCACACCGGAATGCAGTGGCGTGATCTCGGCTCACTGCCCCTGGGCCTCCCGGCTTCAATTGAGTCTCCAGCCTCAGCCGCCCTCGAGTAGCTGGACTACAGGCACGCCACCACGCCCAGCTAATTTTTGTATTGTTCATAGACACTGGGTTTCGCCATGTTGGGCAGGCTGGTCTTGAACTCCTGACCCCAGGTGATCCACCTGCCATGGCCTCCCAAAGTGCTGGGATTACAGGCTTGAGCCACAGTGCCCGGCCTTTTTTTTTTTTTTTTTTCTCTTATACATTGTTTACACTCCTCACTCCTGATTCTTAACAGTTGTCACAACCTTTCTTCTCCTTCATTTAAAATCTAACTCAGTTCAATCAGGAAGGTCACTTACCTTGAAAGTCTTCCTTCTTTAGAGCTGGGGTGCATGGTGTTCTTGCTGGCAGAGTAGAAATAAGCTATCAAGGAAAAGAACCTGTAACACACTGGGAACCCTTAACTCATTGTAAGAACTGCCTCCAAATCAACTTCCTCAAAAACTAAAGAACTCTTCGAGAGAGCGAGACTAGTTGATAAACAATCTAAGGGGAGAACTTCTAAAGATTGTAACACTAAAAATAATTCCGTAAAACTACAATGCAAGTCTACCCAACAAAACTTTAAAAATATAATTTTATCTTTCTTTCAAGAGATCATGGGAAAATCTATTTTCGTTTAAAATATATAACTTCTATTTGTTACTGTATTTGGATTTGTGCTACCACTATTCTGGATTTGTTCCCATGTATCTGTGGAACCAAGCAGCTAATAATCTTTACTCAGCATCTCTGGGTACTTCTTGAATGAAAATGGAATGGATTGGTGGAATTAATGGCTAGATGTTTAGAAGACACTACTTTGTTATTTTCTCTGTATAATGTTGAAAGCCTACAACTATACAGAGACATAAACGAGCCAGGTTGAGAGGCTGGGAAAGATGAAGAGGGAGGAGGAAAGGATGGGCTTGTAGCCCTCATCCGGTCAAACTCCCAACTTTGAGCTTCACTTTATTGTAAAATTAGAGGCTAAAACTATTTAAAGCTTCCAAACCTTTTTGATGAAACGGAAATGCCAATTAGCTACTAACATAATTAACCAGTGTATCCTGATTTTTAAAAGATGTTTTCCTTTGTGATTTAAAGGAAACATGGGAGCTGGAGTTGCAATGTCAGTCCTGAAGGACTGACCTTGGGAGGCCGGGTAGGAACTGTTAAACGGGCAACAAAATCACATGTTTTCAACTGAATACACTGATATTCAAGTGTCCAGAAAAATAATTTCGAGGCTACGTTCACAAGTTTGCCAGAAAGCCCTATTGACACAGGTGCTGATCTCAGACATCTGAGTTAGCACCATTCTGCTGGAGGGGATTAAGACTGGATGCTTCGAGCGGAGTTGGGAACATTATCATCTGAGGAAACTAAAACGCGCCAGCAGTAGGCCTTTTTCCAACGTCTCTGACAAAATATGTTGCGGGAAAAGTCAACCCGCCCCAAATTCCCCCGTGTGGCCCTAACTCGAGGCTCCGGCTCCTCTCGCCAGCAAGCTGAGGAAGAGACAGTCTCCTGCGATTTAGATACAAACACGCGCGTGCAGGGAAGGCCACCCCAGGGCAGCCACTGCCACCTCCGCCGCTTCCGACGCCCGCGCTCACGGGAGAGCCTTGCGCCGCACGGGAACGCCTTGCGGCGCACGGGAACCTCCCGTCCACCGCCGCAGAGCGGATGGGCGTCCCCGGGAGCCAATGGACGCGCCGGGAGGCGGGGCAGTGAGGCCGAGGGGGCGGGATTTCCCTCACGGCCGCTCGGCGTCTGGAGAAGGCGGTGCGGGCGGGGACGGCGGCCGCGCCAGCCGGAGAGGGCGGGCCGGGGTCAGCTGCGGCGGGTGGGCCGGCGTGGGGAGCTGTGGGCGGCCGCTGCATCTCCCGCCGCCGCCCTCCCTCCGCCACGATGCCGGGGATCGACAAACTGCCCATCGAGGAGACGCTGGAGGACAGCCCGCAGGTGAGGCGCGGGCGCTGGTGGGCGACGAGGGAGAGCCCAGCGGGCGGACCCCAGGTCTGGCACCTCCGCCGCTCCCGCAGGTGCCCGCCCCGGCCCAGGTGGGCGCCGCCGCCGCCGCCCTGGGTCACCGCCCGTCGCAGGCCGCGCCCCGGGTTGTGGAGGGTGGGCCCGCCGCCCAAGGCCCGCGTGGGCCTGCTCGGCTGGGCCGAGGGCCGTAGGCGGAGACCGAGCCGCTGGTGCTCGTGGGCCGGGCGGTCACGTACGCTCGCGGGTCTCCTTTTTATTTGACGAATGGCGCCGTTTTTTATCGCCGTAATGTGAGGTGCTAAATCTCGACCCTGGAATTTTCTCCCCAAGAACCTCTTCAGAGAAAATGCAGAAGGGAGAGAAACCCCGGTAGTCTTATTTAATGATTTCCGAGGCTCAGCAAGTTAGGGAAGGAAATGGATCGTTTTTCTTCGGGAGAGGCTGTAAGGTTGTGTGTGGAGACCTAACAGCAAAGCCCGTGACGGGTCCCGGAGCCCAAGAACGCTTTCCCCGCCCGTGACTGTGGTCGCTGTCACTCGAGCTGTGTATGGCCAGGGATGGACGGTGCCTTCGCCGCTCCTCGACTGCTGCGCCGCTCCCTGCAGACTTGGCCTTAATAAACTCATCAAAATAAAAGCCCTGTGTTCTGTGCGTCGGAATGATGCTGGTGTGGTTGCTCTAGCTTAAGATAGTTTTGGAAAATGTAACCATTTAATATGTTTTAAGTACTGAAGAATGAAATCAGCTATATTTTTTTAAATGTTGGCAGGGGCTGTAACTTACATAGGGAAAACTTCATCTCTAAGTCTTTTTACACGATAATTTAAACGGTTTAAGACGGTGTTGCTGGTTGGACACTATTTAGAATGAAACATTTTTGAATTATTGCTCATTTAGAAATGCAGTTGCACCATTTCATGTGTCTTTACAGCTGAACATGGCCCCCAAAGAAGAAAAGCAGAAGAGGTCTAGATCTCCTTTTCCTGGATGACACTTCTGCCATGGATTTTATGTCAGTGTTAATTGCCAAGTTGAAGTGGGGCTCTGATTGTAGAACTGATTTGTTCTTTTTTATTCTGAAAGTTATCTTCACAGACCAGTTGCCTGCTGCTAATGTACTCTTAGCCTATACTGACAAAGAGAGAAACTCACATTTGGTTTATCTTGACTGCCAGTATAGCTGGTTCAATTTTTTTCTTCATGATTTCTCCATATAAAGTTATAAACTGTATTTGTTTCAGATGATTTGCAAAAAGTTTGTGGAATTGGTCAGGCGTACTTTGTCATTTTACTTTTTATTATGTAAGATTCAACAGGTTGCCTTACCTTTCTTCTCTTACTTGGCTTTTTTTTTTTTTTTTAATAGCCCATAAAGACTATAAACAGCTCAGAATGGATTGCATACTGCCCTAGATATGACTTGTGAGGCAGAGGTAAAATCTTGACTCATCTAATTTCTTGAGCTTTTTGCACAGATTAGTTTACAACTTAAGAATTGTGGTTTTTTGTTTTTGTTTTTGTTTTTTGCAAGCATGCATCATACTAGTGTCAGTTTTACAGTATATTTGTTTGTTTGTTGAGATGGGGATCTTGCTATGTTTCCCAGCACTGTGTCCTGGAACACCTGTGCTGAAGTGATCCTCCTGCCTCAGCCTCCCTAGCAGCTGGGAATACAGGCGTGTGTCACTGTGCCAGCTAGTTTTTTTCTTTTTCTTTTTTTTTTTTTTTTCCGAGACAAGCTTTTGCTCTTGTTGCCCAGGCTGGAGTGCAATGGCGTGATCTCGACTCACTGCAACCTCCGCCTCCCGGGTTCAAGTGATTCTCCTGCCTCAGCCTCCTGAGTAGCTGGGATTACAGTCGCGTGCCACCACGCCCACCTAGTTTTTGTATTTTTAGTAGAGACAGGGTTTCGCCATGTTGGCCAGGCTGGTCTTGAACTCCTGATGTCAGGTGATCCGCCCACTTTGGCCTCCCAAAGTGCTGGGATTACAGGTATGAGCACCTGGCCTGTGCCAGCTAATTTTTAATGAACTAGTCACATTGATATTCCTTCAATGTTTAAAGGCAATAAATTTGAACTAGGTAAAATTTACTTGGGAAAATTAATGGGGACAACTGGGATTTAGGAAGTGTAGATACTTGGAGGTGATTCTTCGGTTGAACCTGTGGCAGAATGGAAAGCCTTGGATCTAGGGTTGAGGAGATTTTTAGTCATCACTGTTACTACCTTCTGCTTTAGGGCAAATCATTCAACTTCTCTGAACCTCAGCTGTTGTGCCTTAATTTTTGACCCTGATTAAAAAAATAATAGTTGCTTGCTTCAGAAAAATTGGAAGGCCCAGAAAAGAATAACACACAATTACCTGTTGGGTACCCAGCAAAAACCTGTTAACAGTTTGGTTTCTTTATTCTACTGTTTTTTTTTTTCTTCTACATGTTTTATTGGAATTGAGATTATATTGTGCATAATGATCTTTATCCTGCTTTTAGCTTAACATTATAACTTAAGTGCCTTCATATGTTTTTACATTCTAAATAAAAAAATTTGAAGACCACACACTTCCTTAACTGATTCCACCATCCACTGCTGGACTTTTAGAGTTTTCTCAAAGTTTTGCTTTTATAAACAGGGCTGAGATTAATGCTTTGGAGCATAAATTTTCTTCTCAGTTTGAACTGTTTTATTTAGAATAGAGTCCAAGAAGTAGAGCAGCAAAGAATATGAAGACTTTTAAAGCTCATGGTAAGGTTTTTTTTTTGAGACAGAGTCTCACTGTCACATAGGTTGGATTGCAGTGGCTCAGCCATAGCTCAGAAACCTCAAACTCCTAGGCATATGCTACCAAGCTCAGCTAATTTTATTTTATTTTATTTTATTGTTTTTGGAGGTGGAGTTTCGCTCTTGTCGCCCAGGCTGGAGTGCAGTGGCATGATCTTGGCTGACTATAGTCTTCACCCCCCAGGTTCAAGTGATTCTGCTGCCTCAGCCTCCTAAGTAGCCCAACTAGTGATTCTGCTGCCTCAGCCTCCTAAGTAGCCCAACTAATTTAAAAATCTTTTGTAGAAGACTGGGCATGGTGGTTCATGCCTGTAATCCCAGCACTTTGGGAGGCCTAGGCGGGTGGATCACAAGGTCAGGAGTTTGAGACCAGACTGGCCAACATAGTGAAACTCCGTCTCTACTAAAAATGCAAAAAATTAGCCGGACGTGGTGGTGGGCGTCTGTAATCCCAGTTACTCAGGAGGCTGAGACAGGAGAATTGCTTGAACCGGGGAGGCGGAGGTTGCAATGAGCTGAAATTGTGCCATTGCATTCCAGCCCGGGCAACAGTGTGAGACTCTGTCTTAAAAAATAAAAATAAAAAATAATAATTTTTTTTTTTTAAAGACAGGGTCTCACTATATTGGCCAGGCTAGTCTTGAACTCCTGGCCTTAGTGCTGGGATTACAGATGTGAGCCACTGTACCAGGCCCTAAAAGTTTTTTATTTGATTAGTTTTTAAGTTTTTTATATCATTTAGATCTAATCAAAAGTGACCTGCCAGTTGCTACGTAAAAAAGTTTAGAGTCTTGGCCTGGCACAGTGGCTTATACTTGTAAACACTTGAGGGTGGGAGTTCAGGACCATCTAGGGCAAAATAGCAAGATCTCATCTCTACCAAAAATAAAATTAGCTGGGCATGGTGGCATGAGCCTATAGTCCCAGCTATTCAGGAGGCTAGGGCAGGAGGATCGATTGAGTCCAGGAGTCCGTGGCTGCAGTGAGCTATGATCACACCACTGCACTCCAGCCTGGGTAACAGAACAAGGCTTTGGCTCTAAAAAAAAAAAAAAAAACCAAAGAACCTGGGAGTGATGGAAGACTATCCTGAATTATAGTTATAGTTATCCTTCTTTTAGTTTTGATTTATAGTAACTAGGTATTAAATTAGGGAGAATTTGCAAGTCCAAAATCCAGCTGATCAAAGAGCATCTTTTAAGGATACTGCCTGGAACCTAGGGGGGGAAAAAGCATGTTTGGAATTACCTTGCCCAAACCACACAGTTCTGCAAAAGATCATCCATTAAGCCAGAAAATCTTAAGCTTATACTAGATGCCTTGTCCATAGTTATATGTTGTTTTGAAAATTAAAATCAAAATAAACCTTGTTAATTACTAAAAACAGATAATGATCTTTAAAAACTTAATTGATTTTATGTGTAGATATGTATCTTAGTGATTCATCTATGAGAGAACAGTGAAGAAAAACCCCAGTCCCAAATGGGATCTTCTTTCTTTGCATAATATGAAATACTCATGAGATGTGCCTTTCCCCCTAACGTTTTAATGTCTCTGATTGGGATTCCTCATAGCGTTGACAGTATGTTAACAATTGCTATCAGCCAGGTAGCAGTAGTAATGTATTTCACATTGTCTGCAAATGTACATACTTGGTTGTTTCTCCTAGTAGTATACTGGCCAAGTGTAGTCTCTTAGTGTTCAACTAACAAATCAATTTTGCCACCATTTGAGAAAGGAATATCAGTCCTGGTTATTGTCCAAAAATCTTCCTTTGACAGCTGGTGAGATGTCAAATGACATCATCAAAACTTGCTTGAAGAAAATATTAGGGACAAAAATGGAGTACTTCTAAGAAATACTTATCTCCTCATGGCACAGAGAATGATAATGTATAGGAAAACATGGATATTGATGACTCTTGAGTTGAAAAGTGGTTCATGGGCCGGGCGTGGTGGCTCATGCCTATAATCCCAGCACTTTGTGAGGCTAAGGTGGGCAGATCATGAGGTCAGGAGATCGAGACCATCCTGGCTAACACGATGAAACCCAGTCTCTACTAAAAATACAAAAAATTAGCTGGGCATGGTGGCGGGCGCCTGTAGTCCCAGCCACATGGGAGACTGGGGCAGGAGAATGGTGTGAACCTGGGAGGTGGAGCATGCAGTGAGCCAAGATTGCGCTGCTGCACTCCAGCCTGGGCGACAGAGTGAGACTCTGACTCAAAAAAAAAAAAAAAAGAAAAGTGTTTCATAAGATTCGAACTCTATGAAGTTTTAGAAATAAGTTTATGATGCTTATATTTCCTATGTTTACATGAGAGCTGTATATGATAAAATTCTGTGTGAAGGTCTGTTTCCATAAATATAAGGTAAAAAATTCAAGACATAAAACCTTAAATCATAGCTTAATTGCCAGCATTGTTTTGTTTGAGTAGTACAAAAATAAAAATGATGCATCTTACAATGGATACCGTCATAGATTCAATGAAATGGTACCATATTGATTCTATTTTTTAAGCTACTAACTTTAAACAAACAGTAATTATCCAGTGTTGAAGTTGATATTGTTAGTGTAAAATAGGGAATCTGTTTCAACTTTGTTTGAGCTAAGAAGAGCTTTTAAATTTAATTATGCTACAAGTTTTTACATATATATGTAACTCCTTGAATTGGAATTACCCATTTTTAGAAAAAAAAAAACGAAGTGGCAGATTTTTCTTAAGAATGGCACTAGCCAAACAAGATTTCCTGATGCTTTCTTTTGTACATCTTAAAATAGCACTATAGGGAATTGTAGTGGAGTGTTTGAAAAAGATTCTGTCAAATCTAAATCTCTGAGGCCTGGGGAAGTAGAAGACTGAAAATAGGGCCTTACTGGCATAATGATTTTGTGTCTTTCCCCTCCTTTATACTATATTGACTTAGCTTCCTCCTCTGAAAATAGGAAGCTAAGAAATAAGTTGATTTAAGAAAACAAAATTTCTGGCCATGTGCAGTGGCTGACACCTGACCTGTAATCCCAGCACTTTGGGAGGCCGAGGTAGGAGAAATGCTTGAGCCAAGCAGTTTGAAACCAGCCTGAGTAACATAGTGAGACCCTGTCACTACAAAAAAATAGAAAAAAAGTAGCTAGATGTGGTGGCACATGTCTGTAGTCCCAGCTACCTGGGAGGCTGAGGTGGGAGGATTGTTTGAGCCTGGGAGGTCAAGGCTGCAGTGAGCCGAGATCATGTTACTGCACTCCAGCCTGGGAGAAAGAATGAGATCCTGTCTCAAACAACAGCAACAACAACCACAACATTTTTCTAAGGCTAAGGCATAGGCCGGGCGCTGTGGCTCATGCCTGTAATCCCAACACTTTGGGAGGCTAAGGCAGGTGGATCACGAGGTCAGGAGATCGAGACCATCCTGGGTAACATGGTGAAACCCCGTCTCTACTAAAAAATGCAAAAAATTAGCCAGGCGTGGTGGTGGGCACCTGAAGTCCTAGCTACTGGGGAGTCTGAGGCCGGAGAATGGCGTGAACCTAGGAGGTGGAACTTGTAGTGAGCCGAGATCGTGCCACTGCACCTCCAACCTGGGCGGCAGAGCAAGACTCTGTCTCAAAAAAAAATCTAAGGCCAAGGCATAAATTATTTTTAGAATAAAAATACAAAGTCATCTTTTAGATTTTAAGCTGCGGTTATCTCCAGTAGTTGTTGGTATTTTCATTCTTTCCCTGCCTTTGGGATGTAATGTGAGTATGTCTGCCTTGCCTTTGATAGCTTCAGCTTCCTTATCTTTGATAAATTTTTATTGATATTCTCTCTTTTTTTTTTTTTTTTTTTGAGAAGGAGTCTCGCTCTGTCGCCCAGGCTGGAATGCAGTGGGCAATCTCAGCTCACTTCAAGCTCCGCCTCCCGGGTTCACGCCATTCACCTGCCTCAGCCTCCCGAGTAGCTGGGACTACAGGCGCCCACCACTACGCCCGGCTAATTTTTTGTATTTTTAGTAGAGACGGGGTTTCACCATGTTAGCCAGGATGGTCTCCATCTCCTGACCTCGTGATCCACCTGCCTGGGCCTCCCAAAGTGCTGGGATTACAGGCGTGAGCCACCGCGCCTGGTCTGACATTCTTAACATTTACTTATAAGCTTTCCCCCTTAAAATGAAGATAATTTAAAAAAATTTTTTTATTTTGAGACAGAGTCTTGCTCTGTCGTCCAGGCTGAAGTGCAGTGGCGCGATCTTGGCTCACTGTAACCTTCGCCTCTCAAGTTCAAGCTATTCTCTTGTCTCAGCCTCCTGAGTAGCTGTGACTACAGGCATGTGCCACCAAGCCTGGCTAATTTTTTGTATTTTTAGTAGAGACGGGGTTTCACCGTGTTAGCCAGGATGGTCTCAATCTCCTGACCTCGTGATCTGCCTGCCTCGGCCTCCCAAAGTGCTGAGATTACAGGCATGAGCCGCCGTGCTCAGCCTAAAATGAAGGTAATTTTTAAATGTGCATAGTAGAAAAATGAGAAAACGAAACAAAAGGCAAACAATATAGACGTGTATAAAGAAGAAGAAAGGAAAACCCCAAATTGTGCATTCAGAAAAACCTAGTTAGCATTTTATATGCTGAAGAGTTGGCCATGCTGGGGAGAGTGTACTGTGGTATTTTTAGATTAGGACAGGGAGGGGTTTGGCCTCTTATTTTTAGATTAGGACAGGAGGTTTAGCCTCTTCTCTCAGAAAAAACTAGAAATAAAGTGTAAAGACTATACTAAATTTGATCTGAAGTAAGATATCTTTACTGAAGGAATTTGTATTTTAGACGGGTTTCATTGTGTTGTATTGTAGATACTTCCTAATCTCCCTGACTTGTGATCTGCCTGCCTTGGCCTCCCAAAGTGCTGAGATTACAGGCATGAGCTGCACGTGCCCGGCCTAAAAATGAAGATAATTTTTAAAATGTGTGTTAGGAAAACACAAACAAAATAAAAGCCAAACCACATAGACGGTATAAAGAAGAAGAGGGAAGGAAAACCCCCAAATTGTGTATTCAGAAAAAACGAGTTAGCATTCTTTTTATGTACAAGAGTTACGTGTTGGGGAGGGGACAGGGTGTACTGTGGTATTTTTAGATTAGGACAGGGAGGGGTTTGGCCTCTTCTAGAAAAAACTATAGAAGAAAAGAAATAATCATACTAAATTATCCTGAAGTAAGACATTCAAAATATTTATACTACATAGAATGCTGTTAATTTAGCTTTGAATGTTTCTGTTGATTTGTCTTATAGAATTTTTGGTTTCTGAAAATATACCTCTGTTGTTTCTTCTAAAGTTTGTGTGACATAGTTGGAAAATACCTCTGCTTTGTTGAAGTGAAACTGAGAACAAAAAAACTCTGACTTCTTAACATTACTACCAAAGAGAGAAAATAGATTAAAACTCAGAATTACTAGAACTTTAATATCCTATGATTTTTGCTTCCTTTAGAAAAAATATTTTTCCATCTGATTTGTATTATGATTAACATAAACTTACTGCTATTATTTTATACAGACAAGGTCTTTACTGGGTGTATTTGAAGAAGATGCCACAGCTATTTCCAACTATATGAACCAGTTGTATCAAGCTATGCATCGGATTTATGATGCACAGGTAAAACACTGAGGACTAACTTGATGCTTTTAAAACATGAATTTTTAAGCCTCATAAGGATAGGTAGTGTCTGTCTTGTTTACCAGTGCTTAAACCTTTACTAGGCTCCTAGTAATAAATATTTATTGAATGGATGAATGAACATTGTGTATTACAGAACTGACATTTCAACTACTAGAGTACAGTTTGTAGTACTACAAAAGTGATAGAAGATTGAAGCATCTGCCCATTCTCCCCAAACATAGTTTGGGGGAAACCCCCCATGAAACTCACTGATAGTGATCTTTCCTAATATTTGAATGAAGATCCCATGTCATCACTGGTATTTTCCCTAATCATGCTTATTACAATCTTATGGAACACTTCCCCACCCCCACTTTATTTATTTATTTATTTATTTATTTATTTATTTATTTTTTGAGACGGAGTCTCTCTGTCGCCCAGGCTGGAGTGCAGTGGCCGGATCTCAGCTCACTGCAAGCTCCGCCTCCCGAGTTCACGCCATTCTCCTACCTCAGCCTCCCAAGTAGCTGGGACTACAGGCGCCCGCCACCTCGCCCGGCTAGTTTTTTGTGTTTTTTAGTAGAGACAGGGTTTCACCGTGTTAGCCAGGATGGTCTCGATCTCCTGACCTCGTGATCCGCCCGTCTCGGCCTCCCAAGGTGCTGGGATTACAGGCTTGAGCCACCGCGCCCGGCCTATTTATTTTTTTGAGATGGAGCTTTGCTCTTGTTGCCCAGGCTGGAGTGCAGTGGCGTGATCTCGGCTCACCGCGTCCTCCGCCCCCCTGGGTTCAAGTGATTCTCCTGCCTCAGCCTCTCGAGTAGCTGGGATTACAGGCATGCACCAGCATGCTGACTAATTTTGTATTTTTAGTAGAGACGGGGTTTCTCCTTGTTGGTCAGGCTGGTCTTGAACTCCTGACGTCAGGTGATCCGCCCACCTTGGCCTCCCAAAGTGCTGGGATTGTGCCTGGCCCTTTTTTTTGGAGACGGAGTGTTGCTCATGTCTCCCAGGTTGAAGTACAATGGCGCAATCTCGACTCACTGCACCCTCCACCACCCAGGTTCAAGCAGTTCTCCTGCCTTAGCCTCCTGAGTAGCTGGGATTACAGGCGTGCGCCACTACGCCCGGATAATTTTGTATTTTTACTAGAGGTGGGGTTTCACCATGTTGGCCAGGCTGGTCTTGAACTCCTGACCTCAGGTGATCTGCCCGCCTCGGCCTCCCAAAGTGCTGGGATTACAGGCGTAAGCCACTGCAAATGGCCAACACTTCCCCTTTTTCAGTAGAGGATTTGAAAGTTGGCTGCCTCTGTCAAGTTAAAAGAAGGCACTAAAAATTAGATGTACCTCTGGAGTACAAGAAGAGGAAGGGTATGACTAAGTTTTCTTGTTGACCAGGAATAAAATTTGAAGCTATGTTTGGATAACTTAATTATAAGCTTAAACAGCAACCTAGGTTCTGTGATATACTTTCTTTGGGATTAATTAAGTGTACAAGTTTTATTTTTTTCCCTTCTCATATTGTTTGCTTTCTGGCTTCACATTTTCATTACATACTTAAAAGTTGCTATGTTATTGTTTAGTTTTTCCTTGTGATCAGGCTCTGAAGCTTTGCTTTCTGACCACAGAGATATATGATTAATATGTTAAAGAAATGTCATATTTGTTATAGTCACTAAAAAAACTAAAAGTTTTTCATATGGCTGTGTTGCTGTATTATATGACTAGGTCAACTACATTTTGGTTGTATATTATTAAGTGCTTACTGTAGTCTAGTATCAGCATCTACAGAGAGCAATAATCAGTCATCAACGTAGACTCTCTGAAGATTTTGCTAAGGCTTTAAAGTATTTAGTGCTTAGTTTTTATTATCAACAAACAAACAAACACCAGGAACACTGCTGAATTCCTTGAGAGTGTCTATTTTATGGTTTGAGTTTTCTTTTAAAGTGCTTTAATGGTAGTACGCCTTTCCAGTGATTTAATGAAGGTTTTAAAAATATTTATGTTAAGTGATAATAAATAAATTAGGTATATTCAACTAAAACTTTTTTCTCAGTATGATCATGCTAATTTGAATGCTTTTTCCATAGAATGAATTAAGTGCAGCAACACACCTGACCTCAAAACTTTTAAAAGAATATGAAAAACAGGTATTGTATATCAAAGTTTTAAAAGCATAATTTTAAAAGTATAGTATCTGTATAGATAGACTTTCAACAAGAATCCTTAAGTTTTCTTGAATTCACAGAATATACCATCGAAATTTCATGATAGCACTTACGCTCAGATAATTTTAATGATTTAATATTAAATACAGAGGCTATCTAGTTTACCTGTTTTCTTTTTACAAATGAAGAAGTTGTGACTTGCTCAACGTTACACCATTATTGGAGGAACTGGAGCTAAATGCTAAATCTTTGAACTTCGAGTAAGGTGGAGATTCCAATATGCCATGTCAATTGGTTACTTAACAAACAATTAATTAATTATATACATTACACAATTTCAGTTAAATGATATTTTAGAGCTTATTCAAAATTTTGGAAGTTTTTCTAAAGTTATTTAAAAATGTAAATTATAGTAATGTCATTCCCAAAAGACACGACGTTGAAACTTTACCTCATCTCTGTTTCTCGTTTTTCAGCGTTTTCCATTGGGAGGTGATGATGAAGTTATGAGCTCTACATTGCAACAGTTTTCAAAAGTTATAGATGAGGTAAACTTTTATTTTATTTTGCTTGATTAAATGGTCTTATAATTAAGTTACCCAGGCTTTTATTTTATGAGTAAAGCTCTATTACAGAGATGACTAAAGAAGAATCTTACTTCCACATCCTGGTGGCTGGCTCATCAAAACAATACTTTCTTTACCAGATTAAAACATTGTTTTCCAGGAATAAACATATAGATGTGCTTCTTCTACATGTAGTCCATGTAACATTCAGTCTTGACATGTGTCATTAGATGTAGGCAGGGGGAGAAGAGTTAGGTAGTGAGCTACATCTGGGTTCCTTGTTGTTGCTCTAAGCAACATTTTACTGTTTAGTCTTTATTAATCCTGCTATCCTAAACAGCCAAAATCAACCCTGAATTCCTCAAATCAGTCACCACAACAAATCATTAAAACAAAGACCTGAAAGCTAACAGGAAGAAAAGGTAGTGAGAGCTTATGGAGAATCAGTAACTATTCTCTACTGTTGCAGTAAAATCTCTTCTTTTCACATGGACCATTCGATAGTCCTGTGTTTTCTAGAATCTTACCTGGAAAAATATTTTTTTTTGAAATATTTTAATAACCCATTATAGCAAAATGTTTTACCAGGAAATCAAGATAAAGAAATAATGTAATTTTTTTCATTTCAAAAATTGTGGTAAAGTACACATAGCATAAAATTTGCCATTCATGACATTTAGTACATTCATAGTGCTATGCAACCATAACCACTGTCTGGTTTTTAGGACATTTTCATCATCTCAAAGGAAGCCTTGTGCTGGTTAAGCAGTGTATTAGTCTGTTTTCACACTGCTGATAAAGACATACCTGAGATGGGTAATTTATAAAGAAAAAGAGGTTTAATGGACTCACAGTTCCACGTGGCTGGGGAAGCCTCACAATCATGGCAGAAGGCAAAAGGCACATCTTACATGGCAGCACATGAGAGAGAATGAAAGACAAGTGAAAGGGGAACCCCTTAAAAATCATCAGATCTCATGAAACTTACTACCAGGAGAACAGTATGGGGGAAACTGCCCCTGTGATTCAGTTGTCTCCCACGGGGCCCCTCCTACAACATGTGGGAATTATGGGAGCTACAATTGAAGATGAGATTTGGGTGGGGACAGCCAAACCGTATCAAGCAGTTACTTCCACCTCTCTGCTCCCTCAGTCCTTGTCAACCACTAATCTGCTTTCTTTTTTTTGTTTTTTTTTGAGACGGGGTCTGGCTCTGTCGCCCAGGCTGGAGTGCAGTGGCCAGATCTCAGCTCACTGCAAGCTCCGCCTCCCGGGTTTACGCCATTCTCCTGCCTCAGCCTCCCGAGTAGCTGGGACTACAGGCGCCCACCACCTCGCCCGGCTAGTTTTTTGTGTTTTTTTAGTAGAGACGGGGTTTCACCGTGTTAACCAGGATGGTCTCGATCTCCTGACCTCGTGATCCGCCTGTCTCGGCCTCCCAAAGTGCTGGGATTATAGGCTTGAGCCGCCGCGCCTGGCAGTCTGCTTTCTTTCTGTATGACTTTGCCTACTTTTGATATTTATATAAATGAACTCATAATTTTAGAGTTTTTAATGTCTGCTTTCACTTAGCATAATGTGTTCAAGGTTCATTCGTGTTGTAATATGCCTCAGTACTTCATTCCTTTTTTGGCTAAATAAAATTTCATTGTTATGGATATATCAAGTTTTGTTTTTCTAGTCATCTCTTTATATATCTGTATCTGTTTATCTAGTCCTTGTTCATTTGTGTTGTTTCTACCTTTTAACTAGTTCAAATAATGTTGTTATGAGCATTCATATACAGGTGTTTTTGTTTTTTTTTGAACAACAGTTTTCAGTTCTCTTGAGTAGGTACCCAGAAATGGGATTGCTGGGTCATTGCATGGTAATTTTATGTTTGTTTATTTAAAAGTTAAATAATGTAGAAAACCACCAAACTGTTTTCTACAGTGCCCGTACCATTTTACATTCCTACCAGCAATGTAGGAGGGTTCCAGTTTTTCCATATCCTCACCAACAATTATTTTTGTTTGTGTGTATTTAAAAATTTTTAAAAAATTATAGCCATCTGAGTGAGTGTGAAGTGGTCTCTCATTGTGGTTTTGATTTGCATTTTCTTGATGTCTAATGATATTGAGCACCTTTTCATGTGCTTATTGGCCATTTGTTTATCTTTGAAGAAGTTATACAGATCCTTTGCCTGTTTTTAAATTGGTTGTCTTTTTATTATTAAGTTGTAAACGTTCTCTTTCTAGATACAAGTTATGTATCACATACATAATTGGCAAATATTTTCTCCCATTCTGAGTTGTTTTTTTTTCTTTTCACTTTCTTGATGGTATGCTTTGATGCATAGAAGTTTTAAATTTTGATGATGTCCATTATTTATTTTCTTTTGTTCCTTGTGCTTTTAGTGTCATATGCAAGAAACCGTTACCAAATCCAAGGTCATTCTTGTTTTCTAAGAGTTTAGTAAATGGATTTTTTTTACTATATAATATTTTGTACTGTATCACATAATTTTTAGTGTTTGCCTATATAAAATACATCAGAACCTTTTTTGCTAGATTCTGTTTAATTTACTTAACACTGGTTAAATGTCTGTGTATAGTTATTTGGCCTTTTTGGTCTTTCTTTTTCTAGCTTAGCTCTTGTCATGCAGTACTTTCAACTCAACTTGCTGATGCCATGATGTTCCCCATTACCCAGTTTAAAGAAAGAGATCTGAAAGGTATTGAAGTCAAGCTTATGTTTACTTTCATTGGCTGTAAGATCAACGCGTGTAAAATGCATATTACTCTATACCTACACCATTTCTTGACCACAACCTGTGCCACTCTTACTTTGCTCAGTTATCAAACATTTATAGGAGCTCCTGCTAGATGTCAAACTAGATATTGAGAAATACCGATATGGATAAGATATCCCCTCTTTTGAGAAATTCTAGAGAAGGAAGTGGGCACACACATAATTACAACACTTATGTCTCTTATAATTAGGGAATGAGCAAGGTGCTGGCGGGGCTGTTAGGAGGGGTCAGCAAGGCTTCACCCAAGGATGTGACATGAGCATTGAACAGTGAAGAGGAATTTGCCAGAAGAGTCATTATTCTGTTAGAGGGACTAGAGTGCACAAAGTATGGCTTTTAGAAATAGACAGCCTATTTGACAGTAGCAAGAAACTCAGTGTGGCTGCAATGCTGGATGTGTTAGAGTGAGGCAGGAGATGAATCCAGAAACAGAGGAGATGGGAGTAGGTCATGCTAAGAGGCTAGACTTCAGTTTATGAGCAAAGGAGAAGTCATTGGGGGTCTTTAAGGAGAGACACAATTCCTTTGGAGGATGGAATAGAGTAGCCTTGTTATGTAGGAGACTAGACTGGGAAGTTGTAGGCGTCCAGTGAGATGTGACCAAGGCCTGAGTTAGGATAGTGGCACAGGGTATAGAGGTGTGTGTATGGGCCGAAGTGGCAAGAGGTAGGGGTACTGGCACATTTAACAGTCTGCAACCTGGTTGTTTGTGGGTTTTATTTTTACCCACTTAGGATTACTAGGTGATACAATGAGAGTTTTATAGAGTTGGTTCTGCTTTCCCATAACTTGTAATCTCAGCCATACAGACTTACTTCCAAAATATGTAGAGGGATTAAAAATATTGAACTAATGTATCAGTGAATGGTAAAGTATTTAAATTATACATGGAATACAGACAAATGCATATTATCATACTATTCTATACCTACCACTATTTCTGGACAGCAACCTGTGCCACCTTTACTCAGTCACCAACACATCTCTAATGTATTTTAAGGATGGAGTTACTAATTGTGGTTGTGATCCTCAAGAATGGTCATTTCTAAGGTCTAGAACAAGATCTCTCTTCTTCAGTGTAAGGGACTGAATGGCATAATCTTATTAATAAGATGTTTTGTTTCTCATTTAGCATTTGAATGTTTAGATTCATATACCAAAAATGCATGATTCTGGCACTAAATCAGAATATTTGCATATCTTACCATTTACAGTGGGTGTTTAAATTTGTTTTTCTGTCATATCACTAATTTGTAGCAAGTAGATTTTCTGGTGGTGTAACTGTTGCTAATGATAGTAAATGTTTCATAGACTAGCTGAAACACAGAATAGCTTTTTCACCCTGAATGTTGAAGTATGAAATATTATTTGGAGTTTTAATTATAGTTTAAGTAGCAGTTATTGTTTTCCAAACAAATGTATTTCATAAATATGCCAAACTTAAATTATTCTTGAACTTTTTCAGAAATACTAACGTTAAAGGAAGTATTTCAGATTGCAAGTAATGGTAAGCCCTATAATTTGCATACTTATTTCTTGCAGTGATGTATTTGTTTATCAGTGCATATCTGTGGCTAGATTCTTTGTAATAATTGAAAAAAAAAGAACCCAATTAAAAATAAGTGAACATTACTTAAATCAGTATTGCTTCTTAAATTATAAGATTTAATAATTTAAATTACACTGTATAACCAGTGTAATTTAAGAAAAATCTTAAGGAAATTAAGTCTTATAGGTTACTATCTTCATAATGCCTAAAGAGATGTTATAGTATTTTACCTTTCTTGTTCTTTTGTATATCCCAATTTTTCTTTAATGAGTGTTAGATATATATATATGTTTATGTGTGTGTGTGTGTGTATGTGTATATATATATGTGTATATATTTTAAGATATGGGGTCTTGCTCTGTTGCCCAGGTTGGAGTGCAGTGACTATTGAAGCCACAATCATAGCATACTGTAGTGATCCTGCTGCCCCATCCTCCTGATTAGCTGGGACTATTGGCATGTGCCACTGTGTCTAAGCTGCGTTTGCTATTTTTGTACTACAAAATACTTTAAAAAGCTTTACTGCATTAGTTTCCTGGAATTAATTTTTTAAAAACCAGTTTGAGAAGTAGACACATAATTTAGGGGAAATTTGGCTGTGGGGAAAATTTGAGTTCAGTGATCATGTGGTAGGAAATTCTTGCTTTAGTACGTTTGTGGAAAGATGCACATGTGAAGACCATTGAAAGCATTTGTAAGTTTTGAAAAGTACTGTTGTATTGTTAACACTCGTTTCTTTTTTCCAGATCATGATGCTGCAATTAACAGATATAGCCGATTATCCAAAAAAAGAGAAAATGACAAGGTGTGATACATATTTATTCCTTCAGTATCATGATTAACAACTATTCATTAGGTGGTCTAGTTTTTCCTCTATCAAAATGGAGCCAGCAGTTACTTTGTATGTTTTGTTATATTACCCTTAGTTTATTCTTTCCTTCCACCTGTTCGAAACCTTTCTGATAATCATTGATCTCTTTAAACAAAATATTTTCTTCGGCCAAAATTTGATGTTATAAGTAAACATAACTATTCTGGAAATGTAACTAATGCCCAGTATATAACATTGCCTCTTGTTGCTTTGTATTTTGATGACATGGCATTGGTTCTGTTTGAATATATATGTGTGTTCAAAAATGTCTTCTGAGATAGAGTGATCAAGAAGTAGAATTGTCACACACATAATGAAATTCTGTTATGAGGCCCTCCTTATTTACAGAAATATATATCTTTTGATATTTATTCAAGGAGTGAAATACAGAAATATTACACTATATTTGAGGAGAAATGCATTCAAGTAAAGATGAGAGAACAGAATATTAACAAGTTCTTCTGGGCATGCCTTAAGATCATGGCTTTCTCCAGCACCTAGTCCAAGGCTTGATGTGTAGGTCTTTCTAGATGCTTGTGACTGAGGTGATCTCTGTGCCTGGGTGTTGGTGTCTGTAGCCTTGGCTGCAGCTGCTGTTGGAAACGCAGTGACTGCTTGTGGGAATCCATAGTTGGGTACGATTTACTGTGCAACAGCTACTGTGACAAAGGAAATGTTTCTCACACAAAGTTTAGTACGAAGATTGATTTCCTTTTCGTTTTCTAATTTTAGCTGCAGACTACTACTTAATGGTGTATTGATAAAATGTATACATTTTGAGATCTCTAATAGTCACTTGGCCTTAGAGAAGTAGTCAAAGGCTCTAGGTATAAAATTTGATATATTTTACATTACTTCTGGCTGTTCAAAGTATTTTAAAAAACACTTTTTCACCAACTTCATTTTATTTAAAAATTCATTGAGCACCTAATATATGTCAAACAGTCTGTTGGGTACCTTGGGGGAACAATGGGAATAGGCTTCACTCCTGCCCTCAAAGACTGGATACTCCACATTTATTGAAGGCTACCTGTGTGAAGGCATGCAAGTCGAACAAGGATGACAAGAAGGCATGGATTAACTCTGTTATTAGTTAAATACAATAATAGGGGTTTTAACAAAATGCGGAGAGAGCACAGAGAGGGGAGCAGTTAGCTTTGATTGGTGAATTGGGAAAGGTTACACTTTTTTTTTTTTTTTTTTTGAGACAGGGCCTCATTCTGACTCCCAGGCAGGAGTGCAGTGGCGCTGTCTTGGCTCACTGCAACCTCCACCTCCTGGGTTCAAGTGATTCTTCTGCCTCAGCCTCCCCAGTAACTGGGATTACAGGCGTGAGCCACAATGCTCAGCTAATTTTTGTATTTTTAGTAGAGGTGGGTGTTCACCGTGTTGGCCAGGCTGGTCTCAAACTCCTGACCTCAGGTGATCCGCCTGCCTCAGCCTCCCAAAGTGCTGGGATTACAGGCGTGAGCCACTGCACCCGGCCAGCAAAGGTTACACTTCTAAAAGGTGACATTTACATTGAAGATAAGTGGCTAACACTAGTTTGGAATTGGAGATTGCTTTCCTGAAAGAAAAACAGCCTTTCAGAGGCACATGGTGGAGTTGGGAGAGTGTAAAGGTTAGGAGTACTCTGTGACAGTAAAGGAAATGTTTGGAGATATGGCAGAAAGGGTAAGAAGTATATTGGTACCAGATTACTATATTAATGACCTTGAAATTTGTGTTAGAGGGAGTGGACAGCCGCCAAAGGATTCTAAGTAGGTAAATAACATCATGCAGTTGTGTTATAGAACAAACATACTAATGAAAATGTGAAGAGGACAAGACTAGAGGGAATCCAATGAAAGGAATTGGAATAGTTTGCAAAGATATAATGAAGGCCTCAGCTAAGGTTGTTACTGAAAGTGGAGAGGAAGGAGTACTTTTGCGAGATATTTCTTAAGTATGAGTTGACAAGACTTGTGGTAATAGGAGGAATAAAAAATGAGTCCTAGATTTCTTGGATGTCTGGATGGATTCTGTAGTAATTAAGAGAGCTAAGAAACAAAGTAGAAGAACAGGTTTTGTGTACAAAACTATCTTCAGTTTTGTACATTTGTAGCACATAAACACACATAAAGAACCCAGCTGGAGATGTGTTTCCTCTGTCACTTGGGAGAGTGAGAGGGAAGAGACAAAATTTGTGAGTCATTGATATATTGGAATATTAGAATATTCTTGGTACTTGAGGATTCTAAGGAAAGGAGGAAGACAGAAGAACATAATGGCTATTACATAATAGGTATTCAATAAATATATGTTGTCTGAATAAAAGAACTGTAGGGAGCACACATATTTCAAGTATGGGTGAGGGAAGACAAGCAAGTATGAGAGAGGAAGACTGATAGGGAGAGAACCAGGAGGGGAGACTGGTATGCTGTGAACTGATCAAAGTCAAAGACTAATGGCTAAGCTAATAACAAACAATTGTCTGCCCTTCCTCCATGTGGTAAGCTTTCTCTGCCATGCTTAGTTTAGTTATTGTACCATTCTTAGTTATGTAGAGAATTCTGTTTTCAATATGCCTTTTTTTTTTTTTTTTTTTTTGAGACAGTCTGTGTCGCCCAAGCTGGAGTACAGTTGTGTGATCTTGGCTCACTGCAACCTCCACCTCCCAGGGTGAAGCTATTCTCATGCTTCAGCCTCCCTAGTAGCTGGAATTACAGGCATGTACCACCGCACCCAGCTAATTTTTTTCCATTTTTAGTAGAGACAGGGTTTTACCATGTTGACCAGGCTGCTCTTAAACTCCTGGCCTCAAGTGATCTTCCTGCCTTGGCCTCCCAAAGTGCTGGGATTACAGGCATGAGCCACCACGCCTGGCCTCAATGTGCATTTTGTAAATTATGTGGTTGGAAGTTAAACAGGAAAATTCGCTTAACCAGTATGTTGAAGGATTTCTAAAAGATCAGAAACAGAAACATCAATGCTCAATTGCTTGTAATACACCTTTTCCTCAGGTGGGCTCTTCTCCACAGCTCCTACTGAAGATAATACAAAAGTAAATAATAGCAGATTATTTACTTAATTATTTAAATCTTTTCATTCAAAGGTGAAGTATGAAGTAACAGAAGATGTGTACACGTCCAGAAAGAAACAACACCAGACCATGATGCATTATTTTTGTGCATTAAATACTCTTCAGTACAAGAAGAAAATAGCATTGTTAGAACCTCTACTTGGGTACATGCAAGCTCAGGTAAATACTGTACTGTATTTTGGACTATAACTGTCCTAAAAGCTTTATATTAAGCTTGATATTTACATTAAGTATAAAGATATTATAAACTATTTTCAACATCCTTGTTCATGTCTGTGTTTTAAGAAGTAATTTTTAAAAATGTCATCAGACTATTATTTTAAGGAAGTTAGGAAGAATGGTTTTCGTTGCAAATGAAGATTTCAAATATTTTAGGGTAAATGAAACCACTTGTTCACCATAGCTGGGGACTGAGAACAGAAAGCTAAATGAATTTCAGAGTTACATCTATTGCTGGAGCTTCAACTAAACACTTGCTTCATAATAGATCTGAAAGAGAATGAACAGGTTTGAGTTTATCCCATATTCCTTGCATACTTCCTGAGTTAAAAATAATAGATGAACTCCAGCGTGCCCCAAGGTATATCAGGAAGGGGGCTAGAAATTTGTTTTGGGTAGTATAAGACAAAGTGTCAGTCTCCTAAAAATTAAGAGTTTAAAGAAAATTGAGGCCAGGCGCGGTGCCTCATGCCTATAATCGAGCTCTTTGGTAGGGCCGAGGTAGGAGAATCACTTGAGTCCAGGAGTTTGAGACTAGCCTTAGCAATGTAGGGAGACCCCATCTCTACAAAAAATGAAAAAATTAGTTGGGCTTGGTAGCATGCCTCAGTGGTCCCAGCAACTTGGGAGGCTGAGATAGAAGGATCCCTCGAGCCTAGGAGGCTGAGGCTGCAATGAGGTGTTACTGTGCAGTCTGGATGACAAAGCGAGACCCTGTCTCAAAAAAAAAAAGAAAAAAAATTGAATCTATTTAAGTAAAAGAGTACTTTACTGATTATTCCTCAGATAGAAAACTTATCTTTGTAGTAAACATGAAATACTTTATATAATTTGTTGGAAATACTTTAAAATTTATTTTCCAATTTTAAAAGATTGTTAACCATACATATGTATTACTTGTTCCAATTCAAAAAATATAAAAGGATATGTAGTGGAATTTAAGTCTAACTTCCTTAATGGCTCCATGTGCAGTAGAAATCACAAACTACAATGTATTTTTACATAAATGGGAATATTCCTTTGTTTTTTACTTAACCATGTATCTTAGAGATTGTTTATATGATTTACTTTAAGTATTGCTTAATGTATTTTTGTATTGTTCAATTCCCCCCACTCCCTGCTCTCCAGATAAGTTTCTTTAAGATGGGTTCTGAAAATCTTAATGAACAACTGGAAGAATTTTTAGCTAATATTGGAACAAGCGTTCAGAAGTAAGTATTTTTTTCCTTAAAATTGAAAATGAAATGATGTGAATGATAGCTGAACAGCTCAGTGATATAATGTAAAGATATTTATCATTTAATTTCCTGAGGGAATGTTTTCCCTGCCATGAGAGTTTCTTATGTGGTTCATGGTTACTTCTTGTTTTTTTTTTTTTTTTTTTTACCTCTTTTTTTCCATAGATTGTGAACTTCGAATTTCTTAATGGTGATAATTTGATTCTAAACTCAGTTTTATGTCCGAATATAACAGACACATAATAGTAATTCCCCATAAGTGAAATTATCTTTAAACTTGAAATTGTGGGAGTTTAATGGGAGATTACTAAATATTATTTCCACGCCATGAAAACTTAAAGAGAGAGAGAAAGCAGTTCTTATCAGGTTCAAAATGCTGAGCAGTATATGTGGTCTGTTCGCGGTATGGAGAGAGATGAAAGTAATTGTTGTATTAAAGGCACAGAACCTCTGTTTTAAAGGCACAGTTTGAAAATTACGCCAAAATCAGGGATTCAGTGGGGCTTCATTCATTTTTTGAATTTAGTATTGTTTCCAAAATATCTAAGTTTCAAATAAACTATAAACCTGTTTTAAAATGTATTTGTGTTGTTTTAACCACGTATGCCACATTTCCTCTCTTTAAGGAAACATATCCAAAACAAATATGCAGGTAAACATGATTAGTAAGGAGTTCTATATTGGTTGTGATTTGTAGTAAATAATCTGTTCTGTATCAGTGTTCGCAGGGAAATGGACAGTGATATAGAGACCATGCAACAGACAATAGAGGATTTGGAAGTAGCCAGTGATCCCTTATATGTGCCTGACCCAGACCCCACCAAATTTCCTGTTAATCGAAATTTAACCCGAAAGGCTGGATACCTTAATGCTAGGAAGTAAGAAAACTATTGTTATTTTTGTATATTGTATATCATGTAAGACAATACCAAATGAATATAATAAATAATTGATGTCTGTCATATTGTTTTGATTTTTATTAAAGGTTGAAACTTTTTAGAGGTGTTAGTATTATGTGAACTTTTTGACAGATGAGGTACGTAAATACTTTTCAGAAGTAAAATCCTACCTAGCTATTTATTGAATAATGTAGAATGATAAAAGAAGTGAAACCAAGGCTGGGCGTGGTGGCTCACACCTGTGATCCCAGCACTTTGGGGGAGACCAAGGCAGGCGGATCACCTGAGGTCAGGAGTTCGAGACCAGCCTGGCCAACATGGTGGAGCCCCACCTCTACTAAAAATACAAAAATTTAGCCGAGCATGGTGGCTTATGCCTGTAATCCCAGCTACTCAGGAGGCTGAGGCACAAGAATCACTTGAACCTAGGAGGCAGAGGTTGCGGTGACCCGAGATCGCGCCATTGTACTCCAGCCTGGGGGACAGAGTGAGACTCTGTCTCAAAAAAAAAAAACTGAAACTAATTTGAGTTTAAGTAAATATTCACATATGGTATCATCACATGAGACTGTGAAATATCATTTATCATACTTTAATATATTTGTAATTATAGCACCAAGTCAAATGTTAGTTTTCATCTGACGATAGGATGAAGCAGGCTAACCCTAGAAATAAAATAAATTCTATTGTTTTGAATTTACTCCCTTGGAAGTTGAACTATAACCTGTATTTTATGGATCGTTATTAATAATAGCCACAGTTTGATAATTTCCAGCCTTGTTTTGGAAACTGTATACACATTCACAAAAGTGAGTCAACATACATGAATTTATTTTAGAGACTGAAAGCATATTTATATTTATTTTCTTGGCATCTTGGTGCCTTTTCAGAAGCCAATTCTTTGTAACATGCTTTATCTTGTGTCTAGCTGATGATGAGATTTCAGGTATGTTGTTATTAAAGAGTGAATGTGCTTTCTTCATTTAGTAAAACAGGCTTGGTGTCATCTACCTGGGACAGACAGTTTTACTTCACGCAGGGTGGAAATTTAATGAGTCAGGCCCGTGGGGATGTAGCAGGAGGCCTGGCCATGGACATAGACAACTGTTCAGTGATGGCTGTGGACTGTGAAGACAGACGATATTGTTTTCAGATCACCTCTTTCGATGGAAAAAAGTTAGTATTTTTTTCTACTACTAATTATCTATAATATTTTAAACTTCTGAAATGTGGGATAATTCCTTTTTGTTTAGAAATTTTATGGACATTTTAGGTTCATGTGTATTAAGATAAATTGCTTTTTAATCTTGTAGAAATAGATTGAATTTTTGTTTCTGACTTGGTTAAATGGTTTGTTGATATTTTGAGGTTGTCAAAGCAATGTCATATAGTAAAGACCTGTGGTTTCACGTTAGGGAACTGGAACTGAAAATCCTGCATAGTATCGGGGAAGACAGAACAAGTTCATGGAAAGAGTCCTAAACCTGGAGTCAGAAAGTTCAAATTCTGGATCCATTACTTACTCTATCGTCTCAGACAGTAGAGTAATGTCTGTAACCCCTCTCAGCTCCATTTTTGTTCATGTAAAATGTGAGTGGGGGGGTTGTAATCCCTACTTCATAAATTGTTGTGAGGAACAGAAATTCTAACATATGTAATGTGACTGACATATAGTAGGTGCTAACAACAGTGTTATTTTAAAATGTTAATCAAATATTTCTGATCAGATTATTTTTCCATTAATGTTTATAATACCATTTAAAAAAATTTCTATTACCTTTTTTTGAGGTGGGGTCTTACTGTGTCTCCCTGGCTGGAATGCAGTGGTGTGAACATGGCTCACTGTAGCCTCAACCTCCTGGGCTCAAGGGATCCTCCCACCTCAGGACCCCAAGTTGCTAGGATCACAGGTGCATGCCACCATGTCTGGCAATTAAAAAAATTTTTTTTTGTAGAGATGTCTCATCATGTTGCCCAGGCTGGTCTCAAACTCCTGGACTTGTGGTCTTCCTGCGCTAGCCTCCCAAAGTGCTAGGATTATAGGCCTGGGCCACCACGCCCAAGCTTCTATTACTTTTGCATTAAAGGAGAATCTTTACAGTAGCATTTAAAAGAAATTTTCAAAAAGCATGGAAAGTTTAAAAAGGAGTATGAAAAAATTCTACTGTCTTATTAATCGAAAGCAACAATTAACTTTTTTGTCCATTGCCTTCCAATTTTTAACCTAAGTACATTTTTAAAATAGTGGAAGAAATACTGTAATTTGGATTTGCAGCCACCTATTAAAAACATGTTATAATGGCTATTCTACAATCTATTTAAGGACATACATTATAATTTAAACATTTTCCTAATGATAGATGTTTAGACTATCTGCCATTTTTCCCCCACTCAATTAAAATACTGCTTTTAACCTTTGAACTTTCTTAATTTAATATTCGGGAGCAGCCTCTGGGTTCCCTGAAAGTCATTTTTTCCCCTGTATTTATGCACATTAAGATATTATAAAAATAAATAAATTTGACCTTTACCCCTAAAAAAAAGATACTGTAGGCCAGGCTTGGTGGCTCACGCCTGTAATCCCAGCTCTTTGGGAGGCCAAGGTGAGTGGGTCACCTGAGGTCAGGAGTTTGAGACCAGCCTGGCCAACATGGTGAAACCCAGTCTCTACTAAAAATACAAAAATTAGCTGGGCATTGTGGCAGGTGCCTGTAATCCTACCTACTTGGGAGGCTGACGCAGGGAGAATTGCTTGAACCCAGGAGGCAGAGGTTGCAGTGAGCCGAGATCACGCCACTGCATTCCAACCTGGGCAACAGAGTGAGACCTTGTCTCAAAAAAAACAAAACAAAACATATTATAGCTCACTATCCTTTATCAAAATGGTTGTTTAATTTCACATTCCTTCTACAAACATACAATGAATGCCAATATTGTGTGGATTTATCCCACTAGATATTGGGAATCACTGTATTCATTTATCAAAATTACCAACTTGTTAACATGTTACTTACTATAAGTATTTACTTTTTGTTTAATGCTTACCTGATTTCCCATTTCATATTCCTGGTGTGATGCAAAATTAGTAAAAATTATTATTTTCTCTAACTCCAATATTGTATCTATTAAAAAGTGAATTAATGATATGTTAATGATTAACATTGAAATATATGATTTAATATTAAAGGAGAAATAATGAAGTAAAGTTTTTGCTATTAGGATCATTGATGCATATTTGAAATATATATGATAAGTTCATAATATATAGGAAATATATATGATAAGTTGAAATGTATTGCCTTCACTGAAATGTAACTTTGTCATGGTCTGTCTTCTAAGGATCAGCACCTGTTTCCTTTTTGGTACATCTTGGGATAGGTAGCCAAAGTCAGAGTTGTTAAAGTCTGCATCCTGATACCTCTGGTGGTCTCCTTTTCCTAAGATACTGTTGGTTGTGTTTTGTTTTTGTTCTTTTAATACCGATTGGTTTTTATATATGCCTTTACCTTTAAAGATTAAAAAGTTCTCTCAGATTATGTTGAAAATACTTTTTTAAACAGTTGAGGCTCAAATGTCTCTTCTCTTCCAGATCTTCAATTTTGCAAGCAGAGAGTAAAAAAGATCATGAAGAGGTAAGATTTTACCTAGTTCATTTCTTCATTGACATTTAAAAATATTTCTGTGATGACAAAACATATATTAATATATTCATTGTAGAAATTTTGGAAAATCCTAGTTAATTAAAAATCTTTCTTTTTCTTTTTTTGGTAAAGGTCTATTGTCCTTGAGCAATATTCTTGTTTCTCACAGAATTTTGTAGTGGGAGGGACCTTAGAGATCATCTCTGCTATTTTAAAGACTCAGATTGAGAAATGACCTTGTGACTGTTGCTGTCTGGCAGGCTGTTAGTATCATGAGGTGACAGTTTAATTTACTCTCTTCTCTCACCAATCCTTTGAGACACTATTTGCTGCACTAAGAACATAGTGGCAGCAGATGTGACATGGCAGGAAACAACTAAAGCTGAAAATCTTGGAGAAATGAAAGAGAGAAAAACAAAAATTTGGGAGTCTCTGTTCTTCCTCATGAGCCTTTTATTTTTGACTCCATTTTTACTCCTAGTATATCAGATATGGAAGGTAAGGTATTAGCAATAATTGATGCTTCAAACCTTTATCTTGAGAAACATTCTTCCATGAAAATATATCTTAGCTTGATTTTTCGCCTTTTAATTTGGCATTATAATTGTGTTGGTAAAAGATAAAAGTTGGAAATGCTATAGAGATCTACCTTTATTTACTTCTTATGGAAAAGAGTAATATTAAAACTTGCTTTTGCTCTCTGAGGAACACACACAAATGTCTCTGTTCTCTGCATAATTTGCCAAATAAAATATTTGTTTAGATTAGTGAGGCTCATCAGGCACTTCAGTCCTCGAGAGTGAAGCAGAAGATGTAGAGCGGAGATTGTTTTCTATGCTAATTATTTATAAACTTGACAGAAGGGAGGCATGTAAAATATATTCACCAAGAATATATTTGTCTTTTAAGCTTTTTTTGCATTTGTGTTTATGATACCTGAGTTCACACCGTCTTGTTTGGTGGGGATTAGGAGGGGAAGTGATATAAAAAGATAAATATAGATTATTAAGTATAATTTAACATGATTGCTGTATTTTTTATTTTCTTATGTGAATTAAACTTGAGATTCTTATATAAATCTACTGAATGTTTTCATATATTTAAATAATAAAAATGTTGAATGTTCTTTTATATATATTTATACGTACCCTTTTTATGAAATGTTTTCTTATAAGGAAGATAAATGTATTACTTCTAATGAAACGTCTGTTGCAGTTGAGTATTGAACATTTGCCTTTACAAGAGAAGCTTTGTAGAAAAAAATTATTAATTATATTTTTCTATTTTTTCCTCTTGCAGTGGATCTGTACAATAAACAACATATCTAAACAAATATACTTAAGTGAAAATCCAGAGGTAATATTTTTATTTTATGTTACCCAGATCCAACAAAATTGAGTAATTTTGTGGCTTACATGTTTTTATTAATTCATAATTTTTCAAGTTCTGTAATTTTTTAATTTGGCCTTGAATGGGTAGCTTATTTTTTTATTTTTATTTTTTTTTGGAGACAGAGTCTCGCCCTGTTGCCCAGGCCGGAGTGCAGTGGCCTGATCTTTGTTCACTGCAGTCTCCACCTCCCAGGTTCAAATGATTCTCCTGCCTTAGCCTCCCCAGTAGCTGAGATTACAGGTGTGTGCCACCACACCCAGCTAATTTTTGTATTTTTAGTAGAGACAGGATTTGGTCATGTTGGCCAGGCTGGTCTCAAACTCCTGTCCTCAGGTGATCTGGCCGTCTTGGCCTCCCAAGGTGCTGGGATTATAGGCGTGAGCCACTGCGGCTGGCCTGAATGAGTAGCTTTAATGTGCCATATATGTAATGAGTGGTCTTCCTAGAACAATAAATTATTTCAAAAGATACTCAACTCAGTCAACCAACAAATATTTATTAGGTGTTGACTATTTAATTCTGTGTTGAGCGCCATGAAGAAAGGAAATACAGAAGAAAATTGAGCCATGGCTTCTGTCCTCTAGGAGCCTATCTGTATGGAGAGACAAAACTAAAAATTTAAGTAACATTTCAGATAAAACAGGATGTAATTGAAAGCATATGGTGATGACTAAAGGCTTAAGTTTTGAGAATAGTTTTGAGAATATTAAGATCAGTATGGACTTTAGAGAAAACTCTGTGGAAATGGTGGAAACTTGAGTTGGGTAGGATTTGTTTGTGTTTTGAGGAAAAGAAGACACAGTGCAGATAAGAGAGTAAGTACAAATGCAGAAATGGCAAATTTATGAAACTGTAGTATAATTAAAGATTCTTTTTTTTTTTTTTTTTTTTTTTTGGAGACAGAGTCTTGCTGTGTCGCCCAGACTGGAGTGCAGTGCCACTATCTCATCTCACTGCAGCCTCCGCCTCCCAGGTTCAAGCGATTCTCCTGCCTCAGCCTTTTGAGTAGCTGGGACTATAGGCCTGCACCACCATGCCCGGCACATTTTTGTATTTTTAATAGAGACAGCGTTTTGCCATGTTGGCCAGGCTGGTCTCGAACTTCCAACTTCAGGTGATCTACCTGCCTTGGCCTCCCAAAGTGCTGGGATTACAGGCATGAGCCACCATGCCCAGCCAAGTTAAAGGTTCTTCATAGAGAATACAAAACTGAAATGTGCATACAAGTCACTTAGGGGTCTTGTTAAAATGCATAATATGATTCAGTATGTCTGGGGTGATACAGCGTGAATTCCCAGTTTTGCAAATTATACTTTGTGTAGTAAGGATATCAAACCATATGAACCCTAAAGTGTAGATACAGCCATAGGTGCAGTCCAAACATACAGGTAGAACACAGGGGTACAGAGAATCCTGGAAGGAGTCAAGTGGGTACCGCAGTATAGTTGGAAAAGGACTTGACTCTAGGACAGGAGCTGTCTGACCTCTGCCACTCTTGGTGGGCCTGTCTGTGCTGTGAGAGTCCAGGCAACTCCTGGCTGATGATTTCAGCTGAGGCTGGGAGGGCTGATTTCTTTGGGAGGCTCTCACTCTTCTAAATCATAATCTGCTGTTGATGTAATGGTGGATTAGATGGGAGGGCTAGACTAGTTTAGTAACTGATTGATATGAAGGATAAAAGAGATGAGTAAGGTAAAGATGACTTCCAGGTTTTAAACCTAAGGGAAGAGAAGAGGAATTTGGGAAAGAAGAGTTCTGTTTTTTTCTTAATGAATTTGAGGTGCCAGCTAAGAAATGCCTAGGAGGAAGTTTTGAACCATAGAAACGAAATCTCATGACCTCCAAAATACTAGTAATTATACTGTAATGTATAATGTATTATAATTTTGTCTAATACAATAAATTACGAGTTTAGGCCGGGCGTGGTGGCTCACGCCTGTAATCCCAGCACTTTGGGAGGCCAAGGCGGGCGGATCACGAGGTCAGGACATCGAGACCATCCTGGCTAACACGGTGAAACCACGTCTCTACTAAAAATACAAAAAATTAGGCATGTGTGGTGGTGAGCGCCTGTAGTCCCAGCTACTCGGGAGGCTGAGGCAGGAGAATGGCGTGCACCCGGGAGGTGGAACTTGCAGTGAGCCGAGATCATGCCACTGCACTCCAGCCTGGGTGACAAAGCAAGACTCTGTCTAAAAAAATAAATAAATTATGAGTTTAATTACGGAAAATCCGTGTTAACTATAGATAAACCTTTTGCTTTTAGTAATTTGATCTCCTGCCAATCTAGCTTTTCCTTTTTGTAAGGTTATTTGGGAGCAACAAAAAATACCATTAAAATACAAATTAAATGATTTATTTTATCATCTAGGGAATACAGTGTTTGGATTTGAATAGTTTGTAATACTTATATAGTCTTTTCCTACCAATTATCAGAACTAATTTTTAGTTAGTATTTCTTAGGTTATCCAGAATTATTTTATCTGTATTAGTGAGAATAGAAATTTTGATCAGTTTGTAGCATTGTATTGGTGATTTTTCTAACAATAAGACACATAAATGCAAAATTGTTTTGTTATTATTTTTTCTAATTTAAAGACCATTTTTATGGAGTAGTGCCTGTTGTCCCAACTACTCAGGAGGCTGAGGGGGAGGACTGCTTAAGCCTAGGAGATCGAGGGTGCAGTGAGCCATAATCATTGCACGCCAGCCTGGGCAGCAGAGAACCTGTCTCCCAAAAAAAGACCATTTAAAAAATTGTGAAAAAATCTACAAATTTACCATGTTAACTGTTTTTAAGTATACAGAAATGTTAACTATATGTACATGATTAAAACAGATCTCTAATTTAAATACCATTTTTATTCAGTCAATATTTTAAATAAAACAATCTAAAGTATTTATGACAAGCTTTCTTATTTTCAATTTTTCGGTCTGAAAATATGACAACTTTGTAAATTAATAAACAGATATTTCTGAGCATAAATATATTCTGGAAAATTGTGAAAACTTTACCAGCATAGTTATAAAATACTCGTATTTTGTGAGTATTTCCTATTCCTTCTAAACTTCTTTATTCAACAAATGTATCGATTGTCCATTGTGCCAGGCACTGGACTGTGTGCTAGCAATACAAACTTTAATAAAAAAAATCTGGTAGTTAAAAATGTAAAGAAAACAATATTTTCTTTAAAAATTTAAAGTGTGCAACACTTGCAGGGAATTTTAAAAAATTAAAGAAAAAGCAATATCTAATAATTACATATAAGTAGAAAATCAGATTTTTTGCTAGGTTATAGGAAGAGGAAATCAGTTATGTACCCTAATATTAAGATGAGGGAATATAGAACTATTTTAGTAGCTCTAATTTATATTTTAAGTGTAACCAGAAGCATTCTAACAATTCAGAGTTACATTCAAACTTTTGGTTTGCTTACTTTACTAATATTAGTCCTTTTTAAAAAAAATTAAAATAGGAAACTGCTGCACGAGTAAATCAGTCAGCTCTGGAAGCTGTCACTCCTTCCCCATCTTTCCAGCAGAGGCACGAGAGCCTGCGGCCAGCCGCAGGGTAAGTTACCACACTGTGAGTTATTTAAAGAAGGATATGGGCTATTTAAAGTATCTGTGATCTGGGATTATGTTTGTACTGAAACATAAGACTTCTCATTGACTTATAATGTTGTGTTTTCTTTTTTCATAGTTGGTTAAATATTTAATATCCAAAAGGGAAAATTAAATGCAGTGCCTTCTTGTTTTATGCTTAGACAATCTCGGCCACCGACAGCTCGAACCAGCAGTTCAGGATCCTTAGGATCTGAGTCTACGAATTTGGCTGCCCTGTCTCTAGATTCCCTTGTTGCCCCAGACACCCCAATACAGTTTGACATAATTTCTCCTGTGTGTGAAGATCAGCCTGGCCAGGCAAAAGCCTTTGGCCAGGGAGGCAGGTGGGTGATAGCATCACAGGTACATTGTGCTGTGGTCTGGAAGGCTTATAATCCCCTGTCTACATTTGAGAGTCATCTCTTATTTATCATGTACATCAGCTATGTTGTACTTTCTTTGTTTAATTATGTAACATACTGATAGTTAGGGAAGAACCATGCAGGTTTTTCCTCTATGTCTTCTGCCTCAGCTAAGGAGTTAAGATAATTTAGTTTCAAAATATTTAATTCTGTATTGCTTATTAGGTCTACTTCTTGGATATTTGCTCTTAAAATTGCAGAAGAAAGTTGATAGCCCTGTCTTTAGGTCATGACAATTTTTTAAAAATTCTTGAGGATAATACACATGATATAGGTTTATTAGAAAATATTATCTTATACCAGAATAAGAAATCTTCAGGAAGTTACTAAAACATTATCACTATTATGAATTATTAATTAATCATCTTTTATTTATATAATGAATATTCTCACCAAAGCAGTTAAAATTTTTCCTTGGCTGTGGTTGAAGGAAACATGACTTAAGGCAAATCATTTATTAAGTAGAATGGACACCTAATGAATTGATCATATATTAATTTGGATATACATGGCTGTGACCCACAAAAAGTCATTTACACATCACAGAAATACACTTAGCATTTGATGTAATAGAACACATACTACAGATATTAATTTCCTGTTATCTTAATGTCAGTGTTTTTTTAGAACCACTTAGCTCTCTGCTTCCAAAACCTATTTTGTTTTGTTTTGAGACGGGGTCTCACTCTGTTGCCCAGGCTGGAGTGCAGTGGCATGATCATAGCTCACTGTAGCTTTGACCTCCTGGGCTGAAGGGATCCTCCTGCCTCACCCTCCTGAGTACCTGGGACCACAGGCGTGCACCACCACACCCAACTAATTTTTAAATTTCTTTGGTAGAGATGGGGTCTTCCTGTGTTGCCCAAGCAGATCTCAAACTCCAGGGCTCAAGCAGTCCTCCTGCCTTGGCCTCCCAAGGTGCTGAGATTACAGGTGTGAGCCACAATGCCCAGCCCTCCAAAACCTACTTTGAGTTGTACTTTTCTTCCTTCACTGTGGTGTGCCAGAAGCCATGCACCCTAAGGAGGAAGGTAACTTCCATCTCCAGTTCACTTTTCTTTTTGCATTGTTACTTGTGCTTTGAGAAATACAGGTTTAAAACTAGATTATAGCTAACTTGCAACATATACTTACAGAAGTAAGTAAAAACCTAAAAAGAAGTTTTTACAATTCCAGGACATTCTTGGCATTTTTCTCAAGCAGCTAAGATTGCAGTTAAATCAGTGTTCCTCTGTGTTTGCTTATTTAAATTCAAGAACTTTTGCAACATGGTTTATTATTATGTTGATTTTTTTGTTGTGTATAGCTAAACTTCCAATTCATCTGTGTCTTCTAAAGTGCATGAACATTGATCAGTTAATGTGTGACAACAGAGGCCTTCATCATAGTAATTTAGTGATCAATAGTGTTTCTTAACAGGATGGGGCATTTTAGAGCTTTCTTTTTAAAATGTTAACTTTGGTTTTAATGATTAGATTCTTCTGTGTGGCTCATGGTAACTGATCATTTGTTCATGTTTTTTTTTCTGAACTTTTTAGGCGTACAAATCCATTTGGAGAATCTGGGGGAATTATAAAATCTGAAACTGAAGGTAACACAGATGTGCAGCATTCATATTTTAGAACTGCTTCTCAGCAAACTGTGAAGAATTTATTGTTTATATTTGTTCTGCTGCTAAGCTCAGTTTTCATGTTATCTTTGCTTCAGAATTTCCTCTACTTATAGTACACTTGAAGCAACAGAACTTAATCTGACTTAAGATGTTGTGATTCATACAAAACTATAGACTCTCACACTTTTGAACTTATAGTCAAATTCTCAGTGCCTAAGATACCTTTCAAGCTTTTCCTAACAGCTGATATTTCACTTCTGGTACTGGAGCATAAATTTTGTTTTTCCACCACTAACTATTCATTTTAATTCTAAACTTACAGAAATGCTGTAAGAACCATCAGTTGGTGTGTGTGTGTGTGTGTGTGTGTTAAGAGACAGGGTCTCCCTATGTTGCCTAGGCTGGTCTCGAACTCCTGGGCTTGAAGGATCCCCCTGCCTCAGCCTCCCAAAGTGCTAGGATTACAGGTGTCAACCACCACGCCTGGCCTCAGAACCACCAATTGTTGAAGCATTACTTTTAGCTATTTGAATTTTAAACCCTAATTTTCCTATAACTTGGAATGCTGTAGTTAGGAGTTATTTTGAAATGTATCCCTTAAGTTGTTGAATTTTTCACTGGAAAATCTAAAAGGAGGCAATGTATTTTATTCTTTTGGAAAAGAAATATGGCATTTAAAAATATATAATACACCTTGTTCTGTTATAGATTCTATTCTTCATCAGTTATTTATTGTCCGATTCCTTGGTTCAATGGAGGTGAAATCAGATGACCATCCAGATGTTGTTTATGAAACTATGCGCCAAATCTTAGCTGCCCGGGCCATCCATAACATCTTTCGGATGACAGAATCGCATTTATTAGTCACTTGTGACTGTTTAAAGTAAGTAAAACCCTCCCTTAAAAAGCTGTAGAAAAAACATTTACAAGATTTCAGCCTAATTGAAATTTGTTTTCCAATTTTTAAATTATTATTTTAGGTTAATTGATCCACAGACACAAGTTACAAGGCTCACGGTGAGTTCCACATGATTTAAGCTTTATTTTAGGTCCCTTTGTATATATACACATTTTACAATTTGATAATAATCCTAATCCTGTATATTCAAGTGTGATAGGATCAGCTATGATTGGTCTTTGGCTGTTGTAGTTAAGTCTGTGGCCATCTGCAAAAAGTTATCATTGAACAGTTTATGTAACTTAAAATAATTAACACAATTCTTATCATTGTGTTATCATTGAACATTTTATGTAACTTAAAAGAATTATCATTGAACATTTTATGTAACTTAAAATAACACAATTCTTTTTGTAATTTTTTTAACAGTTCTTTTTGACTTTGTAAAATGTGTTAACGACTAATAAAATAAATGTAATATTCAACAACCTCTTTTTCTGCTTGTTAATTCAAACCAAATATGACATTACTTGTTTCTGCATTACGAGTCTGTTAAAATAATTGGCTTTAATATATTACAATATTTATATTTTTAGAACTTAGCTTATGAGTTTGTCACGAGTGCTGCTGTAATGACTTGTAAAATCTCATGTTTGCTTCTGATGTTTTCTGTGGCAGTTTCCATTACCTTGTGTAGTTTTGTATGCTACACACCAGGAAAATAAGCGCCTTTTTGGATTTGTTCTTCGGACATCAAGTGGGAGAAGTGAAAGTAATCTGTCATCAGTCTGCTATATATTCGAGTCAAACAATGAGGGGGAAAAGGTACATGGCTTTGCGGAATATCTCTGTCATAACCACTTACTAAGTGATTCTTACTAAGATTTAATAATTATTGAATTCTTACTAATTAAATTACTTAGTAGTTACTGATTGAATTCTTTACAATTAATACAAATTTTTGAGGTATATGTGAATTTTGTTACATGTATAGAATGTACAGTAAGCAAGTCAGGGTATTTAGGGTGTCCATCACCCAAGTACAATACATTTTTGTTAAGTATAGTCACCCTACTCTGCTGTCAGATATTAAATATATTCCTTCTATCGTAATTTATGGTTGTACCTTTTAATCCACTTTTCTTCATCCTCCCCTTTCCTCATCACTCAGCCTTCCAAATCTCTTATCTGTCATTCCACTCTCTGCCTCCATGTGATCAATTTTTTGGCTCCCACATACAAGTGAGAACATGTGATATTTGTCTTTTTGTTCCTCGCTTATTTCACGTAAGATAATGACCTCTAGTTCCATCCATGTTGCTGCAAATGACATGATTTCATTCTTTTTATGGCTGAATAGTACTCCATTGTGTATATGTACCACATTTTCTTTATTCATTTATCTGTTAATGAACATTTAGATTGATTTAACATCTTTGCTATTGTGAATAGTGCTACAGTAAACATATGAGTGCAGGTATCCTTTTGATACAGATTTCTTTAATTTTGGGTAGATACCCAGTAGTGGGATTGTTGGATCGAATGGTAGTTCTATTTTTAGTTTTTGAGAGATCTCCATACTGTTTTCCATAGTGGTTGTACTAGTTTATGTTCCCACCAACAGTGTATGAGTTCCCCTTTTTTCTGCATTTCACCAACATCTGTTATTTTTTGTCTTTTTAGTTATAGCCATTCTGACTAGGGTAAGAATGACTCATTGTCATTTTGATTTGGATTTCTCTAATGAATAGTGATGTTGAGCAATTTTCATATACCTGTTGCCTGTTTTTATGTCCTTTAAGAAGTACATATTCATATCCTCTGCATACTTTTAAATGGGATTATTTTTTTCCCTGTTGAGTTCGTTGTATATTCTGGATATTAGTCCCCAGTTGGATGAACAGTTTGCAGATAATTTCTCCCATTCAACAGGTTGTCTCTTTACTCTGTTATTTCTTTGGCTGTGCAGACACTTTTTAGTTTAAGTCCCATTTGTCTATTTTTATTGCCTATACTTTTGAGGTCTTAGGCATAAAATCTTTGCCGAGACCAATGTGCAGGAGAGTTTTCCCTTCGTTTTCTTCTAGTATTTTTTTTCCTATGGAAAATAACCTTTATTTTATTTATTTATTTATTTTTGAGATGAACTCTCGCTCTGTTGCCCAGGCTGGAGTGCAGTGGCACAATCTTGGCTCACTGCAACCTCCACCTTCCAGATCAAAGTGATTCTTCTACCTCAGCCTCCTGAGTAGCTGGGACTACAGGTGTCTGCCACCATGCCTAGCTAATTTTTTTAGTAGAGACAGGATTTCACCATGTTGGCCAGGCTGGTCTTGAACTCCTGACCTCAAGTGATCCACCTGTCTTGGCCTCCCAAAGTGCTGGGATTAAACAGGTGTGAGCTGCCACACCCAGCTGGAAAAAAAACCTTTAATAGAACAGTTATTGAGAATATCATACTAACAAAGTTTCTCAAGAGACTAAGAGCTAAAATGGTGAAAGTAGGATGATCTTTTTTTTTTCTTTTTGATTTTTGTGGGTACAAGGGGTGTGTGTGTGTGTATGCACTTCTTTTTTTTTTTAAGATGGAGTCTTGCTCTGTTGCCCGGGCTGGAGTACAATGGTGCAATCTTGGCTCACTGCAACCTCCGCACCTCCCAGGTTAAAGTGATTCTCCTGCTTCAGCTTCCTGAGTAGCTGGGACTATAGGCATGTACCACCACGCCCAGCTAATTTTGTATTTTTAGTAGAGACAGGGTTTCTCCATGTTGGTCAGGCTGGTCTCAAACTCCCGACCTCAGGTGATCTGCCTGCCTCAGCCTCCCAAAGTGCTGGGATTATAGGTGTGAGCCACCTCGCCCGGCCAGGTGTATATATTTATGCAGTACATGAAATATTTTGCTACGTGCATGCAATGCATAATAACCACATCATGCAAAATTGAGTATTCATTCCCTTAAGCATTTATCATTTATATTAGAAACAATCCAATTATAGTCTTTTAGTTATTTTTAAATGTACAGTTATTATTGACCATAGTCCCCCTGTTCTATCAAATACCAGGTCTTATTCATTCTATCTTTTTTTTTTTTTTTTATCATTAACTATCCTCCCACCCCCCCATCCCCACACTACCCTTCTCAGCCTCTGGTAACCATCCTTCTACTCTCTGGCTCCATAAGTTCAATTGTTTTGATTTTTAGATCCCACAAATAAGTGAAAACATGCAACATTTGTCTTTCTGTGCCTGGCTTGTTTTGCTTAACATAATGACCTCCATGTTCCATATATCTTGTTGCACATGATAGAATCTCATTCTTTTTTATTGCTGAATAGTACTCCATTGTATGTAAGTACCACATTTTCTTTATCCATATATCATCCATTCAAATGACAGAACCTCATTCCTTTTTTCTGGCTGAATAGTACTCCATTGTGTATGTGTACACTTTCTTTATCCATTCATCTGTTGATGGACACTTAGGTTGCTTCCAAATTGTGGCTATTGTGAACAGAACTGCAACAAACATGGGAGTGCAGATGTCTCTTCAATATATTGATTTCATTTTTTTAGGTATATACCCAGCAGTGGGATTGCTGGATCATATGGTAACTCTATTTTTACTTTTTTGAGGAACCTCTGAGTTTTCTCCATAGTGGTTATACTAATTTACATTCCCACCAACAGTGTACAAGGGTTCCCTTTTCTCCACATGCTTCCCAGCATTTGTTACTGCCTTTTTGCTATAAGCCATTTTAACTGGGGTGAGATGATACATTGTAGTTTTGATTTGCATTTCTCTGATGATCAGTGATGTTGAGGACCTTTTCATATGCCTGTTTGCCATTTGTAAGTCTTCTTTTGAAAAATGTCTATTCAAATCTTTTGTCCAGTTTTAAATCAGATTAAGTTTTTTCCTATAGAGTTGTTTGAGCTCTTTGTATATTCTGGTTATTAATCCCTTGTCAGATGAGTAGTTTACAAATATTTTCTCCCATTCTGTGACTTGTTTCTTCACTTTGTTGATTGTTTCCTTTGCAGTGCAGAAGCTTTTTAACTTGATGAGATCCCATTTGTCCATTTTTGCTTTAGTTGCCTGTGCTTGTGGGGTATTACTCAAGAAATTTTTGCCCAGACTGATGTCCTGGAGAGTTTCCCCAATATTTTCATGTAGTAGTTTCATAGTTTGGGGTCTTAGATTTAAGGTTTTAATCCATTTTGATTAGATTTTTGTATATGGTGAGAGATAGGGGTCTAGTTTTATTCTTCTGCATATGGATATCCAGTTTTTATTGAAGGGACTGTCTTTCCCCCAATGTGTATTCTTGGCACCTTTGTCAAAAATGAGTTCATTGTAGTTGTACGGATTGTTTCTGGATTTTCTATTCTGTTGCATTGCTCTGTGTGTCTTTTTTTTTTTCTTTTTGCCAGTACCATGCCGTTTTGGTTACTACAGCTCTGTAGTATTGTAATTTGAAGTCAGGTAATGTGATTTCTCTAGTTTTGTTATTTTTGCTCAGAATAGCTTTTGGCTCTTCTGAATCTTTTATGATTCCATATACATTTTCAGATTATATTTTTCTATTTCTGTGAAGAACGTCATTGGTTTTTTGATAGGGATTGCATTGAATCTGTAGATTGCTTTGGGTAGTATGGACATTTTAACAATATTGATTCTTCCAATCCATGAACATGGAATATGTCTCCATTTTTGGTGTCCTCTTCAGTTTCTTTCATCAGGGTTTTATAGTTTTTTGGGTTTTTTTTTTTTTTTTTTTTTTTTTTTTTTTTGAGACAGAGTCTCTCTCTATTGCCCAGGCTGGAGTGTGCGGTTGCATAATCTTGGCTCACTGCAACGTCTGCCTTCCAGGTTGAAGCAATTCTCATGCCTGAGCCTCCCAAGTAGCTGGGATTACAGGTGTGTGCCACCATGCCTGGCTAATATTTTTAGTAGAGAAGGGGTTTCACCATATTAGCCAGGCTGGTCTCAAACTCCTGGCCTCAAGTGATCCACCTGCCTGGGCCTCCCAAAGTGCTGGGATTACCGGCCTGAGCCACTGCGCCCAGCTTGTAGTTTTCATTATAGAGATCTTTCACTTCTTGGGTTAACTCCTAGGTATTTAATTTTATCTGTGGCTGTTGTGAGTGAGATTACTTTCTTTTTGAGATTGTTCACTGTTGGCATATAGAAATGCTACTATGTAGTATGTTGATTTTGTATTCTGAAGCTTTACTGAATTCATCAGTTCTAATAGTTTTTTGGTGGAGTCTCAGTTTTTCTAAATATAAGATCATCATATCATCTGCAAACAAGGATAGTTTGACTTCTTCCTTTCCAATTTGGATGCCTTTTTTCTCTCTTTTCTGATTACTCATCTTCCATCTATAAGGTGGAAAGGCTTTTGGTTTTTCCCTATTCAGTATGATACTAGCTGTGAGTCTGTCATATATGGCTTTTATTATGTTGAGCTATATTCCTTCTATACCAAGTTTTTTTTAAGGTTTTTAATCATGAAGGGATGTTGAATTTTATCAAATGCATTTTCAGCAGTAATTGATTAAATAGTTTTTGTCCTTTATTCTGTTGATATGATGTAGCATACTGATTGATTTGCATATGTTGAACTATCTTTACATCCCTGGGATAAATCCCATTTGGTCATGATAAATGATCTTTTTAATGTGTTGTTGCATTTGGTTTGCTAGTATTTTGTTGAGGATTTTTGCGTCAATATTCATGAGATATATTGGCGTGTAGTTTTCTTTTTTTGATGTGTCTTTGTCTGATTTTGGTATCAGGTAATACTGGCCTTGTAGAATGAGTTTGGAAGAATTCCCTTCTTTATTTTTTGTAACATTTTGGGTAAGATTGGTATTAGTTCTTCTTTAAATGTTTGGTAGAATTCAGCAGTAAAGCCATCGGGTCCTGGGCTTTTCATTATCAGGAGACTTCTCATTATGGTTTGGATCTTGTTACTTGTTATTGGACTGTTCAGGTTTTGGATTTCTTTGTGGTTCAGTCTTTAGGTTGTATTTGTCCAGGAATTTATCAATTTCTTCTCGATTTTCCAATTTATTAGCATGTAGTTGCTCATAGTAGCCACCAATGATCCTTTGAATTTATACAGTATCAATTGTAATGTCTCCTTTTTAATCTCCAATTTTATTTACTTGAGTCTTCTTTTTCTTCGTCTGGCTAAATGTCAGTTTTGTTTATCTTTTCAAAAAAACCAACTTTTTGTTATGTTGATCTTTTGTATTGTTTTCTTCATGTCAGATTCATTTATTTCTGCTCTGATCCTTATAATTTCTTCTAGTATTTTTATAGTGTTAGGTCTTATGTTTAAGTCTTTAGTGTATTTTGAGTTGATTTTTGTATATGGTGAGAGGGAGGGGTCTGGTTTCATTCTTCTACATGTGGCTCTCCAATCTTGCCAGAACCATTTATTGAAGAGGATATCCCTTCCCTAGTGAAAGTTCTTTGTCAGCTTTGTTGAAGATCAGTTGGCTGTAAATATGTGGCTTCATTCCTGGGTTCTCTGTTCTGTTCCATTGGTGATATGTCTTATTTTTATAACAATCCCCTGCTGTTTTGCTTACTATAGCCTTGTAATGTATTTTGAAGTTAGGTAATGTGATGCCTCCAGCTTTGTTCTTTTTGTTTAAGATTGCTTTGGCTATTTGCATTGAACCTGTAGATTGCTTTGGGCAATATGGTTATTTTAGCTGTATTATTCTGATCCATGAGCATGGGATGTTTTTTTGTTTATGTCTTCAATCTCTTTCATCAGTGTTTTGTAGTTTTTTGTGTAAATACAATTCTTATATAACTAAGATTTTTGGAAAAAACTCCCAAATTTTGCCTAGGCTGACTGAGCTGCTTGAGCAAAGCATCTCTGAAGAGAGCCAAGCTGATGGGTTGGGCCTTCTGACTCTACAGACTCATGTTTTCCCTGCCACTGATAGCTGGTGCAATATTTTAGCCTCTAATTTATGCTGGGAATGGAATATATTCCCAAAACTAGCCATTTTCAGATGTCTTCAGCTTAGAATAGCATTAGCAGCTGTGTGCATCTTCCTTGTAGGCCTTACTATGACAGTAATGAATTTGACATAACAAGAAATGGGGTATATGAAGGTGAGAGTCAGCAGTGGAAGCCTATAGACTTCAAGGAAAACATACAAAGCCTTGGTTTTGGGGCTTGAGCATTCTTAAATATGCTTTTGTTTGAAGCAATGTATTAGGATTCGTTATAAAACTAGTTACATCAGTTATTTGGATACTTGACATTTTTGCTTTGTTGTGAGAACTGCCTGAATTTTTCATACTTTTTCCCTTTTTAGATATGTGATTCTGTTGGACTGGCAAAACAGATAGCTTTGCATGCTGAACTGGTAAGAATCCAAGATGTGGCTGGGGCACAGTGGCTCATGTCTGTAATCGCAGCACATTGGGAGGCTGAGGCGGGCGGATCACTTGAGGTCAGGAGTTCGAGACTAGCCTGGCCAACATGGTGAAACCCCGTGTCTACTAAAAATACAAAAATTAGTTGACTGTGGTGTGGTGCACCTGTAGTCCCAGCTACTGAGGAGGTCTGAGGCATGAGAATGACTTGAACCCGGGAGGTGGAGGTTGCAGTGAGTTGAGATCACACCACTGTACTCCAGCCTGGGCAACAGAGTGAGATTCTATCTATCTCAAAAAAAAAAAAAAAAAAAGAATCCAAGATGCGTGATTTTCCAAGAATGTTAACTAAAATAGTGTATTAGCTCTTTCATATTAGCAAGTAAACAAAATGATTTTGCTAAACAATTAACAGTGGATACTATTACCAACATAGCATTTAGAATTTGGATAATTACCATTGAATGTAAACTGTTGGTGTGCTTTCTTATGTATAAATGCAAAAAAAAAATTGAAAGGTTACAAATGTGATATTAACTGAAATGTCTAAAATTTAAAGTTATTTCATGTTTAATTCATTAGTTTTATTCATCTGTTTCTTAGGATCGTAGGGCATCAGAAAAACAAAAAGAAATAGAGAGAGTAAAAGAGAAGCAACAGAAAGAACTCAATAAACAAAAACAGATTGAAAAGGTATACAGTCCTAATGTCTAGATCTTTGTGTGTTGTTTGTGAAGACTTAATTCAGCACTATGACTTTCAGATTTGAATTTCCAAATGAAGGACTGTTTCTGCTTGTTCAGCCACTTCATAAACAGATGATTCATACCATAGCAGAAAAGGGTCACATCTCTTTTTTGATATGATGTTTACATTATAGTTATGTTGACATGTAATATGACTGTTTCAAAAATATACCAGAACTTTAATATTTCAGAGGAGGTTGTCTCTGTCAAAGCAGTTGAGAGGCTGTATAGATTTAACTGCCATTGCTGGAAGCCATTTTGCCTTCTATGGGGGGAAATAAATATATATATATGCTGTATGAAATATATAATGAAATATGTATTTTTAATATTGCCAGGAGTGTCAAATCATTGTCCATCCAACAGGATAATTTTAAAAGACAAATTTTGGAGCAAAACTTGAAGAATGCATTAAATGATCCATGAGATTGTAAGAGCGTGTTATGGGTTGCAGATTGACTGTAGGAATAGTAAAGAGGAGACAGCTGGGATACTTAGAACAGATCAGTAAGCATTGGCTGTGGGCTCTCTTTCTTGACAAAGAGGGAAGTGGCAAAGATGACACTGAAGTGAGGCTTTCTTGGTAGGCTAGGCTGAGGGAAGGTGACACCTGATTTAGCAAGATGAATTGGACAGGGATGGAGAAAAGGGCTGGAAAGGGAAAGGAGTGTGGGGTGATCCCTTTCGAGGGTTTTACTATGGTAAAAGATGATGGGCTTTATTTGGTTGTTGGTCGTAAAAAAAGAAAATGAGAACATATATTTTAGTTTGAATGCTGGCTTTTATAGGATGGTGCCAAAATTCATTTGGGTGTTGTATTGTTTGGGTGTAGCTTTTCTTTTTATCAGGTTGTCAGAAGTATGCATATATATTTGTGACAGAAGAACTGAAGTGGCTCTCAAGAATGTATCTTAACTGCATAATTTGCCATTTGACTCCAGACAAGTAACTTAGTTTCTTTTTTGTCTTTTCCACTAGGACTTGGAAGAACAAAGTCGGCTGATAGCTGCATCCAGTAGACCAAACCAAGCCAGTAGTGAGGGGCAGTTTGTTGTCCTTAGCAGTAGCCAGTCAGAAGAGAGTGATTTGGGAGAAGGAGGAAAGAAGAGAGAGTCAGAAGCATAAACTTAAACTTTTGGTAGATATTTCCCCCTTGGAATTTGACAGTTTCTATGGTGAAATGGCACAAGGTAACAACTGTGTTGAAATATCAAGGAGGATACTAAGCTTTATATTTGCTTATTTGTTGTAGCTACATTTTAAAAGAAGGATTGACCTTGATGACTTAGGTTTGCATTGATCTTTTTTCCCCCTTAAACATAATGTACTATGCATTAACATCTAAAAAAAACTTGCTCATCTCCCTGAAGTAGACATTTGCTCAATAATTTTTTCCTTCAGATTGTGAACTTTTAATTCTTGCATTGTAATTGGCTATGACCATAAGAAATCATTTACTCTTCAGGCTTAGACATTCATGGATATGCTTTTCTTTTATTACGAACATTTTGCTGGCAGTGAGGAAGCATTTAGCTGAATAAGTTTAAAGCCCTTTATACAGAGAATTCTACAAGTTTGCAAATATTTTAACAATATTAAACGTGCAATAGAACTTTTATAAAATAATTAGAACAGAGATTTTACACTTAAGGTTTCAAATTGTAGCAGGTGGTACTGTTGATCTCAGGGCACTTTCTGGGATTGCTCACATTTCGCTAATGTACTGCACTTGATGCCAGTAGGAAAGAAGCTTAAGTGTCTTCAGTTCAAGATTGATAGAGCCCTTGGCATTTTATTGTCACATTTTTAGTTCTCAGGTTGGGACTTCAATTACTGCTGCAGAGCAGTAGTGGTTAAAAATAAGATAATGGAATTTATTAGAAGATTTTTTGTTCAAATACATTTTAGATTAGGATTGACAAAGATACTGCTATAGAATGATACATTGTATTTTCTGCATTGTGTGAAATAGTTTTTATTGAAAGTCAAGTGACATTTCAAAAGAAGTTCTATAACAATTATGTTTCATGCTTAAAGTAAAAATTCCCAGAGTTTAGTTTAGAAAATGTAATCTTTTAAATTTCAGACTGTTATTTCCAGTATTTTCATAATCCCATGTTTTGATAAAGTACTGAATCACCACTTTATATCCACAAAGGCCAATAACTAATGTATGAGAATAGAATAATTTGCACTAATTATTGTAAATATATCTACTCTTCAAATGAGAAAAAGGTCCAATTTTATGAAAGATTGAAAATGAATTGAATGCCTGGTAGAGTATAGGAGAAGTTGACCAAGGAAGGATTTAACCTGGTGCCAAGGTTAAAATAACATTTCTCTACTGCCTGTTGTCTATGTTAAACCTTAATTTTTTTTTCTGTAATCACTTTTAACACTGCTAATAGAAATTATGTTTTCATGTGTTTCACATGAAAAAGTATATATATATATACACGAAGTTAATATAGTGAGTAAAATACATAGTCACACATTTACAAATTTTTCAAGAGGTTAGCCACTAAGACTTTAATAATTTTACAAGGGAGAAAGCCTTTTTTTTTTTTCTTTTTTTTTTTTTTGATATACAGTTTTTTCTTTGTAGTTCTGCATTAGAAATGGCATCTGTTTTAGGTCTCAAACTATAACTCGGCTGTTTCACACTAGGTACATTGTTTTCTGTAGGAATAGGATAATGATATATAGGATCATGATATTCCTTCTATCCATGTGCCAAATGGGTGTAATGTTTATTTACTGATGCTTTATGTTACCAAAACATACAGTAAAAAAGTAGAAATTTATGAGATACTTTTTGATAAAAAGTTTATTTTGTGCTTACCAAAGGGAATGCTTTCACAATAGTGTATCAATTGTTTTGTTGAAGTTAGAATTTATTCTGTTGCCAGCACTTAAGTAGTCATGGCAAGTCCTGTTTTTAAGACCTTTTGGAGACTGGAGCTTTCTGTTCCATTAAGTCTTTTGTTTATACTACAAATTGTCACCTCACTTGGTTCAGATGAAATTTATTACTCTACAAGGAAGGTGGTCATCATTAGGAGGCAGCTGTACTAAGCTGGTGCTTTGCATGGTAGCAAGTGCTGCCCTTTGTCAGCACCCTGGGTCATACTGTAGGCTAGAGTTAAGGGCACTGGCAGACTTAGGGATGCTGGACAGACCTGTAGTTTGTTTTAAGTCATGTTCACAGGAATTTCTACAATAATACACCCATCTTCATAGGTCAAATCAAAGTGCATTCCAATGCTAAATAGAAATTATGAGTGGGTTTAACAATTTTAGATGATTCAACTTCTGTTCCATTACTATTGAACTATATGAACTATTCCATTACTGCAGAGATTTAAGTATCCGTTTTAATAAGCTCTTTTTGTTATTTAAAGGCTGCCTATGGGTTTCTGCCTAGTGGTAAAGCTGATTGTTATCCTCCTTTGAAATCCCTTCTAGTTCTTGAGATGCTCTGAGGGTAATTGGATTAGATTTTGGGATATCTTTTCTCCATTCAGACTTACACTTAATGGTGTTAGAAATCAACAAAACTGCTTTTTAAACAGAAAAGATACTAAGCCTGCCTACTTCTGCAATGCATTCTGTTACCTGTATGAACAGTATGTTTGTAACTATGGCAATGAAGTCAGTAGACAGGAAACCAGTTATTCCTTCTCACCTTTAAAAATTTTGAAAACTTGCTAACAAGGGACTAAAGCTATTACCTTGAACAGAGTCCCTAAAGCTAGTCTAGTTTTTGCCACATCTGCAATGATTATTGTTTAATTTCAAAAGAGTCATCAGACTCCACAATCTAGGGGTGGTAAATGTGTTTCCATTATGCTTGAGAAAAGGTCAGTAGGATGTGCATCCTAGGGAAGATAAAATCGTATATGGTAAAGGCATCTGAGTTAACTTTGCATTATATCTAGGAACTGTATTATTTAAAATTTGAATCCTATTATTAATGCCGAGAGATCCTAAGAGCTAGTGTATTGTAAAACCTGCCACCTGAATAAAATGAAAATATTAATGTTGGTTCTGAGACAACCTCTTAGCATTCAGATTATATTTTAAATATTTAAACACACCAATTGTAGAAAGCAACCCTTTATTTTTAGCAAGTTTGGTTTACTCTTCTCCCATGAGATTTCTGTTTTCTACATTAATTAATAATACATAAAGATTTGAAACTGGAACTATATTATACTTTTTAACCAATCTCTGTGGCTTCACTCATGAAATTTACTTCAGTTAATGTGAGACTGGGGATTAAGTTGTAACTAATGTGCAAAATTGCTTTGTATATTTGGTGATTTTGTAATGTAAGTGAATTGGTTAATTCTTATTTCACTGATACTATTAATCATGCAGTGTACAATTTAAAATCATGCAATGTTTCACTTTAGAATTGGACTTGAAGAACTCGACTTTATGTGATCATGGTATTGGTATACATGTGGGGTGGAGAACTTATTTTTTCATTTTGTCACAATAGGTATTTACTGACAAGGCTTCAGGAAAAAAGTTAGATTTTTAAATGTATAATAAAGTCCATGATTTTTGTACAGTGTTTTTTAATGAAATATTTGATACTCTGAACTTTATTTCTCAAAGTAATTTCAGATGTTTGTAAAACAATGGACTCCTTAATCTGTTATGACATTATAAATTACACGTCTAGCCCAACTGCAATTCCATAGCAGCTAAAATGGAAAAAAAAAAATTGTCACTTTATTGGGAAAAGTTTGTTATAGAAGCAAACTAATCGATCGCTGGTGACTTTTTTTCTTTTAGCAAAGGAAAAAGACTTCATTAATTGATGTATACTTGCTACTGTTTGATCCTACTCACAGAAATTCCTCCAATTTAAAGGGGCAGATTGTGCATACCACAGTATAGCTTGGATCTGTAATTTCAATACTAATGCTTATTCATCCCATGTGCTCTTTATAGTTTCTTATGGCAATTAGTTCCTTTCTTCTGGGATTTAGTATTTTAATTTGTTTACAATTTTATAGAAATGTACATACACTTTTAGAAGGTACAGGTAATAGATGAAATTAACTTTAGAATTATATAATTTATCTGATAGAAGTGCATGTATAGCCTAAATATATTTCTATATTGAAAGATATAATCTCTCACTCACTTATCAGTTTGATTTAAAAAAATAAAAACTATTCATGTCAGCTATATAAATTTTTTTTTTTTTTTTTTTTGAGGCGGAGTCTCGCTCTGCCGCCCAGGCTGGAGTGCAGTGGCCGGATCTCAGCTCACTGCAAGCTCCGCCTCCCGGGTTCACGCCATTCTCCTGCCTCGAGACTCCCGAGTAGCTGGGACTACAGGCGCCCGCCACCTCGCCCGGCTAGATTTTTGTATTTTTTAGTAGAGACGGGGTTTCACCGGGTTAGCCAGGATGGTCTTGATCTCCTGACCTCGTGATCCGCCCGTCTCGGCCTCCCAAAGTGCTGGGATTACAGGCTTGAGCCACCGCGCCCGGCCAGCTATATAAATTTTTTAATGTAAAAAAAACTATGAAAATAATTTAAAGTCTGTGCTTACTGAAATAGTCTATATAGCCATTAATCCCTACACCAGAAAAAAATCATATAGCTTCAGTTTCCCTAAAATGGACTATCTAATTCTTTAAAAAGTACCAAGACTAAACATGTAAACATCAAGGCCATAGCTGACTGGGCTGTAGTGAAAATGGACGATATCATTGTACCTCTTACCCCTATTGATGTGGCTTCTAAATGTGACACAAGTGTGGTTGAATGAATGTCTTTTTCAGTTTCTTTCCTCACTTTCCACACGTAGAAATGTATACTTACATGCAGGCCTGGCACAGTGGCTCATGCCTGTAATCCCAGCACTTTGGAAGGCCAAGGCAGGCAGATCACTTGAGGTCAGGAGTTGGAGACAGCCTGACCAACATGGTGAAACCCCATCTTTGCTAAAAATACAAAAATTAGCTGGGTGTGGTGGCATACTCTTGTGATTCCAGCTACTTGGGAGGCTGAGACATGAGAATCTCTGGAACCCAGGAGGCAGAGGTTGCAGTGAGCTGAGATTGCACCACTGCACTCCAGCCTGGGCAACAGGGCGTGACTCCATCTCAGAAAAAGGAACCTATACTTACATGCAGTATGAAATATAGAGAAATAAAAATTTAACATAACTGCCATCAGTGAGCCTCTTCATGTCCATTATCAGGCTAGGTTCAATACAGAAATCATAAGCCGTCTATCATTTGAAAACACTTGTAATTCCAATTCCAGTGATGATATTAACCAGTAAATGGTCAGCCGTAGCCAGGGTTTTGTGGAAAGAAGGGACACACGTTTCTCATTAATAATGAAATTTCAATTGAGAGTTGTATTTCAATTAACTGAATTACCCTACCTCTGTACTTCACTCTACAAAGAAACAGTAGTAGACACTAAGCTGGTATTGGGAGTTTTCCACAAGAACAGCAAACTTCTAAGTCATGTACTGGGGTCAGTGTGTATTCAGTCCAATCATTGAGATGTACAGTAGGCCCCCTTATCCATGGTTTCCCTTTGTGTGGTTTCAGTTACCCGTGGTCCAAACTATTAAAAGGAGGCTGGGCGCGGTGGCTCATACCTATAATCCCAGCACTTTGGGAGGCCAAAGAGGGCAGATCACCTGAGGTCAGGAGTTCAAGATCAGCCTGGCCAACATGGTGAAACCCCATCTCTACTGAAAATACAAAAATTAGCCAGGCATGGTGGTGTACACCTGTAATCCCAGCTACTCGGGAGGCTGAGGCACGAAAATCGCTTGAACCCGGGAGGCGGAGGTTAAAGTGAGCTGAGATCATGCCACTGCAGTCCAGCATGGGTGACAGGACAAGACTCCATCTCAAAAAAAAAAAAAAAAAAAAAAAAAGTATTAAAAGGAAAATTCCAGAAATAAGTAATTTATGAGTTTTAAATTACACACCATTCTGAGTAACATGATGAAGTCTCTCGCTGTCCTGCCTTGTCCCACCTGGGACCTGAATCATCCCTCTGTCCAGTGTATACACACTGTAGGGCATGCGTGTACACTTGTATGTCGCTTAACAACTGGCTTAAAGATACCTACTGAGAGATATGTTAGGTGATTTTGTCATTGTGCAAACATCTTAGAGTCACTTACACAAACCTAGATGGGATGGTGTACTACACACCTAGGCCATGTGTTATATAGCCTATTGCTCCTGGGCTGCAAGCCTGTACAGCATGTTACTGTACTGAATAGGCAATTATAACATCTAGTAAGTATGTATTTAAACATAGAAAAGGTACAGTAAAAATAAGCATTATAATCTTATGGGACCACCATTACATATTTAGTCCAATGATGACTGAAACATTGTATGATATGTGACTGTGCAGGAAAAAAATACACTATGTATAGGGTTCTGTACTAACCCTGGTTTCAGGCATCCATTGAGGGTCTTAGAACGTATCCTCTGAAGATAAGGGAGACTACTGTATTACATATATACTTCTCTATTAAAAAGATACTGTAATGAGTTATCTTGACTTGTCAGAAGTGGCATCTATTATTTTGAGCACATAGACATTGGATTTATACGCTTAATTAGAACTGATGTATTTCAGTTAATTGAAATTTTTACTATTTGAGTTTTTTTTTTTTTTTAACTGCCTTGAGAATGCTAGTCATTTATATGTTGAGAGGCGATATTCAAAGCTACTTAAAAAAATTTTTTTTTCTTTTAGAGATGGGGTCTTGCTCTGGTCACCTAGGCTGGAGTGCAGTGGCGCGATCACAGCTCACTGCAGCCTTGACCTCCCCAAGCTGAAGCAATACTCCTGCCTCAGCCTCCCAGAGCTACTTTTTAAAGGACTTAGACTGCATTGAGATTTTAGTTGGTGGGTAAAGCAAAAAATATGAATCATACATAAGTGAAATTCTAAGGAATACAGCTGCAAAATTATACCTTTTCTATTAGAATGGTTTGATTACCAGGTTCCTGTAAAAATTCCTTGTCCATAAAGGTCGTATTCTTTGTAAAGGACATATGCTTTTAGACGATTGGGTAATGGAAGAAATGACATGAATACAGGGCAGCGCAAATGTAAACGTCCCATGCATTTCCGGATCTTTAGGCGGCACAAGTGTTTTAGGGAGCGAGGGTTTGCTAAAAAGAAAAGGCACATTATCCAAAGAGAAAAAGAACTTATTTTTTAGTATCTTAGGGTTTTGTTAGCAAATACATTTGATAGCATTTCATTTGCTGTTACTAAATAGCAAAGTCAGGGAAATGGTTTTTCAGTTCTTACTGCAATCCTTATTGTAGATGTGGTTCCAGAGCCATGTCAAGTTAGAATCCAAAGACTGGCATCAATTGTGGATCTGGCCTGTGAGATCTGAAGTTCTTAAATCTGCATGTGGCCAGGCGGAGTATCTCATGCCTATAATCCCAGCACTCTGGGAGGCCGAGGCAGGTGGATCACTTGAGGCCAGGAGTTCGAGACCAACGTGGCCAACATGGTGAAACCCCGTCTCTATTAAAAATACAAAACTTAGCTGGGCATGGTGACCATGCGCCTGTAGTCTCAGCTACTCGCGAGACCAAGGCAGGAGAATTGCTTGAACCCAGGAGGTGGAGGTTGCAATGAGCTGTGATTGCGCCACTGCACTCCAGTCTGGTTGACACAGTGAGACTCTGTCTCAAAAAAAAAAAAGTCTGCATGTTTTAGCCCCCTCAGGGACAGGGTAGAAACTTAAGATTACCACCCAAGGGAAATAACACGAAATAAATTATTAATTTGTCTTACATGCTACTTTGAAAGGATTTGCTTTGAAGAAGGTCCTTTTGATACCCTCTACAGACTTGGCTCTTAGCTTTTTCTCATCCTTGTTTTTATTGCCATATAGTAGCTTTTCATTCCTGTGTCCATGGTGTTCTTTTGTAGCCATGGTTTAGGTGGATTGGGATGAAAGTATTACCTACCTATATAATAAGTAGTTATCTAACAGGTTTTATCTCCTCGGAAAAGGTAATAAATACAAATTAAGTGTAGTTAGTAACATTTTTTTAAGATAGGAATAGTATTTTTCTGGTTTAAGTCAAGCTTTTAACCAGAAGAGAAGGGTGTTCTATTTCTAAAACAACCAAATAAGAATACAATTAGTATTTTTGTAAAAAGTCATTCTATAAGGATACTCACTTAAGATAAAATGTATTTCTGACCAGATCCCCTGTTTTTGGAGCACAGCTTTCAACTTTGAACAGATCCGAACTTGATCAACATAATCAAGCATCACTCGAACAACCTTTCCAGAGAGATGTTGCAGCCATGACAAAGTTATTACTTCACAGAACTGAGGGAAACAAAGTCAGAATTAGAAAAGTAAATGAAAAACATGAAGTAGCTATGGTTTAGCATAGTAGTCAAAGGAGATGTGGTGTGATGAAGGCCAAGAGGGAAAAATGTCTCAAAAACGGGGAGGGATGGTATTGGTCAACTGTACTTATTCTGATTGTTTTTTTCATCAGAAATATGATCAAAATAAATCATTTAATCAGTTGCT